GCACTACTAATGCAAGCCTAGCGAACTTTGCTGTGCATGAACTCTCTTTATAGGAAAATTAGACTCAGGAAAAATGAAGAATAAATACAAAGTAAAGAAGAACGACAATTGATCATATAAAATGAAATGAGGGAGATGGAATATAAAGACTTCTATGTGACTCTTCAGAAAGATTGTGATCCTTCAAAAGGATACACCCTTTCATCTCAAGATACACAACCATTTGAGTAAATTTAAATTCAAATTTTCCAACACATATACACCCTCAATTATATGCACCCCTAAGTTATATCATTTTTATTTAGTTATGATTAATTTTCTTTTTTAGTTATGACCTTATTTTAGTTATAACTTATGAGATCTTTGGTTATGTCTCACATATTATTTGATTATTATTTTTATTTTATTTTTTAGTTATAACTCAGGAGATATAAAATTATCTCATTTTTTTTTAATTATAAGGTACATATTGAATACCTTTTGAAGAGTGAATGTACCAGAGACTTTTCCTTTCAATTTTGTGCCTACAAATTTTTTTTGATATGGAATGGCAAACTCACATGTAAATAGGGTGAATTACATTTTGTCCCTTTATGTTTGATTATTTTTTTACTTTGACTTTTAAAATTTATTTTTTCTTACTTTAGCCTTTTAAGTTTCAAGTTTTTCTCAATTTACTTCTAAAGTTAATTTTTATTCAAAATTAAACAGTTAATGTCATGATAACTATCACATAAATATATTATTATATTAGAATTTAAGTTTATGTTAAAAATGTGAGTTATACATAATAAAATATTTTTATGTCACGTGACTATTAATGTGTCATTTTCTGTTTAATTTTGAACAAAAATTAGTTTTAAGAATAATTGGGAAAATTTTGAAACATGAAAAGCCAAATTAAGAAAAAATAAACTTTAAAAATTAGAGTGAAAAGTGACAAAATATAAAAGAGGCAGAATATAATTTATCCATTTATATATGAGTTTAAGTAAAAATTCCAGTAATGACAAAGTTGTACTTTTAAAAATTGCAAAATAATTATAAAAATTTTAAGTAAATATTTAAATCTTCTTTAATTTTGATATTAAAAAAAAAATAGATAGAACTCAACTTAATATAAGTTCAAGTCAAATAATAAATAGATTTTTTAAATAATTTTTAGGGAACTTTTTTTAAGGTCCTTGGTATTGAGATTTTATAGCATAAAGAACATCTAATATTTTCATAATGTCTAAGGTCCTTCAAATTGATCTAAAGAAGATTTGATCCAAAGAATTTCTCTAAACTTCCCAGAAAAATTCTTCCCAAAAAAATTTTCTCTAATTTCTCTGGACTTCCCACTCTCCAGAGAAATTCTCTCGAAATTTCTTCCTAAAGAATTTTTTCACAGAGAAAGAACCTCAGCATTAACAAGAGAAAGAACTTCAAACTAGTTACTAATTTTTCAAAAAAATATTCAAAAAAACAAGTTCTAAAAAATGAACCAAATATTTTTGTTCACATATTTCTCTATGTTTGTTCACAATTTTAAACCAAAGAAAATTATTTTAACCAAATCATAGAAATTTTAGCATAATGATTTTAAACCAAAAAAAATTATTTTAACCAAACCAGAGACATTTTAACCAAATCAGAAAAAATTTAGCACAAATTTCTCTGTGTTTGATCGTAGAGAATTGAATTTCAGCGGTAAAACTTGCCCACTTTAATAATTAAAGTGATAAACTTTTTTATAATTTTGCAATTTTTTTTGGGTCTTCTCACTCATTTTCAATTTCCCCGGTCAACAAAGAGTTATTAATAATATAGTGCAATCACAAAATGAAAGAGACAGATATACATATATAGAGTATAAGATGTGCAAAAAGATGAGATAGACAAAAAGGGCAATGTTGAGGCGCTCATTGTAAGTGGGGACAACTATGCGGAACTTGTTCCTCTCGTTTGTCTTCCCTAGAAGGCAGCGGTAGTAAGTTCGGCAATTGCGACACAGATGTGATCATTAGCCTTGAAGATCTTCTGATGATGGAAAGAGAGCTCGAATCGAGCCTTGATAACTGAGGCCAACACAACATGAGAGTTTGATCGGAGACCAATGGCCGAGATGGCAGTGGACCGGTGTAGATTTAAAGACAGCAGCAGCGGATTGTTGTAGATTTGGAGATGGCGACAGCATATCATTATAGATCAACTTCAATATATGCGTCTGTATAGCGAGAGAGAAATGGAGAGGTTTTGCAAGTTGGCGTGGAGGTGAGATATACAGCGGTGGAGTGAGACACGTTAGATATCATAAAATAATATTATAGACTTTTTTTTATTACTAAAAATGAGAGAGGGAGCTTAGACTAATTTTTTCTAATTTTTATCCAAATATAAAGTTCATATATGTTTGAGTTTAAGAGTTCGAGATGCCCAGCTAGGCTACTAAGGGGAAATTATTAAATATTCTCATAGTATCACGTGTTTGTACTCCTTAACTAATTATCATTCAATATGCTCATCATGTTCATCAATCACTTAATACAATACTCTACCTACCCACCTTCTCCACTAATCATAATACTATAAAATATCACGTGTTCATATTCCGGAATTACTAAATAATCACCTGCTACTAATTGGGAAGACTACTATAAACCTTAACTATTTATTTTTTGTAATAAGTATATATATATATATATTAGTGGTAGGTATAAACACAAATTATTTATGACTTATATTTATTTTTTGGGAATGATTTGAAGGAGATGTTTATTTTACGAATAAATTACAAATACATTTTTTGAGATTTGTTTAAAATATGAATAAAATTAAAATTAGTAACTACTCTCCTATACAATAATAAAATTACCATAATTATTAATTAAAATATATTTTTGATATTATTAAAAACAAATAATTGATTTCAAGATTTATTAATTTAAGGGTTCATTTATTATGTGATTAAAAACCTGAAAGAGCATGTGTATTTTTCAAAAATATATTAAATAATCTGTATATTAAGCAAACATTAAAGGGTATATTTGTAATTATCATAAATTTAAAAGGGCAGACATGGTGAATGAACACTATCCGTTGGGACTTAAAGTACGTTTTTTTTGTATTTTGATTTTTAATTTTATATTTTCTTTTCAAAAAAATACAAGAAATTTGTTTGAATATTAATTTTTCAAAAAAATATATATATATGTAGCCAACTGTTTCTCCATATAAAGATAATTTGTCATTTTACGTTTGGACAATTAGGAGAGCAGTTATCCAACCCTCAAGTATCCTTTTTTAATTACTAATCCACATAAACACTGGATGGGTTAGGGTGAAAAGCCATAGACCTTCTTAGGTCCATGAAAAATGAATAAAACATTGTCAAGGAAACTCTGAAAAAATAAAATAATAAATAAACTGTTTAGCTTTTCTGCAGGTAGAGGAACGACTAGACTATATTGTTAGGCCTTAGATTCATCCTCAGTGTTTTTTTTGATTATTTAACATTAATTTTTTTATGTCATGTGTGAATCGTATATAAATAAAAATAAAAATAAAAAACATATTTGATAATTGTATCTATATGATTTTTTTTATTTATATTTTTCTTTAAAAAATTTAAATAGTTTACTTTTAAATCATATTTATCATTCATTTTTTAAAATATAAACATAATAAATATGACTACGATTATCCAATCAATCTAATTTTTTTTCATAAACAATTTACACACAAAGTCTAAAAATAAATCATAAAAATAAATTTTAAAAAAAAACATTAGGCATTTTTGGATTTATTTCACATTCACATTTTATATACCTACAATGTTCATATATAATAGGAAATGTGATCATAAAGTTTTTGTCAACAGAGAGCAGGTACTTCTTTTATTTTTTATTTTTAGGTACATTTGAAAATAAGAGAGCAGGTACTTCTACTCCAACTCTTTGTGCTTTCCACCTTACATTCATGTCCTCACCTCACTGTCCACAGACTTGATAAAAATAAAAAGAAAGAAAAGAAAAGAAAAAAGACTAGAGTACCAAAAGAAAAGAAAAAACAGACCCTGGTGGGTTGACTCACCCAAATTTCTTAACATGTGTACATACAAACTAGAGTACCAAATACTAGGCCATGTATGTGTGTATAGTGATTGAGGGACCTTTGTAGTCCTTGGTTGGATTCATTGTGAATGGTCCTTTTTATTGACATGCCATCCAGATTTAAATGCTTATTATTAGATTGAATCATTCAATCAAAAAAAAAAAAAAAACACCAAATTGAAGTATCCAGAAAATGCAATATATGAGTCAAATTTATCTTGGGTGTACCTTGTATTACACCAAATTTGAATTACGCTTACCTTTCATTTTCTGAATATTTTTGGTTCATTTATTGTTTTGATTCTAGGATTGCAGAATTGCTTTGTTAGACCTTGCTCAAATTCAAGCATCATTTACATAATTTCATGGTTGAATAGAAGGCACGTAATCTTCTATTTTCAATTTATTTATTTATTTTTTTCCTGTACAGAATCATCAATAGAAATTATTGTATCTCGAGAGATTTTTAATGATGTATAGTGTTTTAAAATATGAGAAGAAGACACATGGTCTTGTGTCAAAGTAGTATGCTCTCCAACCTCTACAGTGGAGATTGCGGATTTGAGCCCCATGTGAGGTGTTGAGGATGATCCCCTTTCCTTCTCCCTTAGATCAGGCTAGTATACGTTCTAACGAATAAAAATAAACAAATAAATAAAAACGGATGATAAGGAAATTTAGGACAAATGATCATTGATATAAACAGAAGTCCAAATCTGCAATATTTTCAGACAATCTAACAAATTTTGGTAATTATTGTTTTCTATTTTAAGGATACATTAGGCAAGCTCAACCAAAAGTTTGTTTCTCTACTTCATATCATATGCATAAACCAAAACCAAAACCAAAACCTCTACCAACTCCATTATTCTGTCTCTCTCTCTCTCTACGGAATACTCTATGAAGTCTTCTCTATAAATACCCTTTACCCATCTAAAGCTTTCATTATGACAAACATTCTTATATCAAGTTTTCCTTCATATAGCTCTTGAAGTTCATAAAAGATTAGCTAAGAAAAACAACAGGGACTACAATGGCTCAATCTCTGAGCTCCTTCATTGTTGTAACCATCCTTGTCTTTGCTCCAATACTTTGCTTTGCTGGGAAGAGCAATGGTGGCTACCTCTACCCACAGTTCTACGGCCGGTCTTGCCCCAAAGCTCAAGAAATTGTGAAGTCTGTTGTTGCAAAGGCTGTCGCCAAAGATACCCGCATGGCTGCTTCATTGCTTAGGCTCCATTTCCATGACTGTTTTGTCAAGGTCAGTCAAGCAAGCAGAGCTATTAATTAATCTACTAGTTTTCAGGACCCTATAATTACCCATGCACTAGTTTTCATTCTATTTTAGCCAAAAAGTCAAAAAGCTAATTAAAACTAGTCACATCACCTCTCTACTTTTCTGCACATCTTTTCGTAAAAAGCCAAAAAGTTACTAAAATAGTCTGTTCCCAAACGAGCTATGGAGAAAAAATGTCTACATGTATATGTGATGGGCTGAAATATGCCATGTGAATTGTAGTTAATTGGATTTGAATGTAAAGCAAAAATAAAAAATACTAGTTAGCTTACTAATTGGTGAGGCAGTTTCATGATATAGAATGTGTTTGAGTTAAAGTTTTATTTCAAAACTTGACCCTTTTTTCTTTCTTTTGAGTATTCGGTGTTTTGTCTCGATTAGTCTTAAATACACACTACAGCAAATTAAAGTTTTAGAGACTAAAATTTAGGGACAAAATTATTTTTTAGGGACCAAATATTTTTGTTGCAAAAAGTATCGTTATTATATTTTTAGCAACAAAAATTAGACATTAGTGATGAATTATTATTCTTTTGAGACCAAATTTTTGTCTAAAAAAAAACTATTTTCAGACCAAATTATTTTGTTCCTAAAAGTTTATTTATCAGTGACATTTTCAAAAAAAATTCGCTAAAAGCCTTGTTTTGGACTTTTCGAGACGACTTTTTAGTGACTATCCTCATGACGATAGAAATTGGTCCCTAAATATCTTTTGTAACAAAATTTTTACTTGTAGAAACCAAAACATTTGGTTTCTAAAACTCTTATTTGTTGTAATGACATGTGGTCTAGGGTCCTATCCCACACATATCAAGTAAGAGATTGGTAACCTATACTTCTTGATATGCATATCTTGGATCGGCTAACCTTTTGGTTCCAAAAATTAAATATTATCTTAAACCATAAAATTGCTTGTCTAAATTATACAAAAGGAAATATTTAGGGCTTTTACCCCTAGTCCTCGGAGTATAGATAGTCTCACTGTCCCACTTGTATTGACCTCGCTTTTACCTCTAATCTGCCAAGTATCCCACTATTAATAATTTAACAGGAATGAGTACTTAAATTGCATCCAACTTATCTCTTGAGATTAGTGCATTACTTACTTTGGTTTATGATTTTGTTAATTAAATGCAGGGGTGTGATGCATCGATACTTCTAGTGAGCACTGGGAGCATGCTGAGTGAGAAGAGGTCGAACCCTAACCGGGACTCGGTTCGTGGGTTTGAAGTCATCGATGAGATCAAATCTGCATTGGAGAAAGAGTGCCCTCACACTGTCTCTTGTGCTGATATCTTGGCTCTAGCTGCTAGAGATTCCACCTCCCTTGTATGTCTTGCTTTTTAGCTAGTGCCAATTTGGATTAGATGACCATACTACCCTTACAAGCTATGCATAATAGCATCTGTTTTTGAATTGTACAATGTGCAGACTGGTGGACCTAGCTGGGAGGTCCCATTAGGAAGAAGGGACTCCAAAGGTGCAAGCTTGAGTGGCTCCAACAACAACATTCCTGCCCCTAACAACACTTTCCAAACCATCCTTGCCAAATTTAAGTTGCAAGGACTTGACATTGTTGATCTTGTGGCATTGTCCGGTAAATATTATAGTTTTCGTGTGGTTTTTTTGAATAGGAACCAAGTTCTTGTCCTTCATAAAAGATCAGGCCATCTAGTCCAATTTTTGGGGTTTATCATATAATTCACTTTAATGATTTGGTTTGTTCATTTTCTAATTTTCTGTCATATTGGCCCTGTTTAAGAAGTGAGTTTAGGACTTTTTTTAGGCTAAAATCCACAACAAGACATAATAGGCTAAAATAGTTAATAAAACAAAATGTCACATGAAACTCATAATTATTTTACTCTTTTTCTTTCCAACCATCTTTCTAAATACAAAAATTTTTACCTACTAAAATATCCTACTAAAATAACCAACTTTCCAAACGAGGCCATTGTGTAGATATCTATGAAAAAAAACTAATTGATTCGAAAATCGTAAGCACATAAATTTTTTACATTTTATTTTTCAAATTATATTTGTTGTATATTTTTTTGAAAATAACCTATTTTTACATTTTTTTTTTTATTAAAAAAAAAATTGCCAATGCCAGGGAGTCACACAATTGGGAATGCCAGATGCACTAGCTTCAGGCAGAGGTTGTACAACCAGGCTGGCAATGGGCTAGCCGACTTCGCACTTGACCAATCATATGCTGCCCAATTGCGTACCCGATGCCCTAAGTCCGGCGGTGATCAGAACCTCTTCTTCTTGGACTTTGTCACCCCAACAAAGTTTGATAACAACTACTTCAAGAACTTGTTGGCTTCTAAGGGGCTTTTGAGTTCTGACCAAGTTCTAGTGACAAAGAACCAACAATCAATGGAGTTAGTGAAGAAATATGCAGAGAATTATGAGCTTTTCTTCGAGCAATTCGCCAAGTCCATGATCAAGATGGGGAACATCTCCCCCCTAACCGGTCCAAGAGGAGAGATTCGAAAGCATTGCAGAAAAATAAACTCTTGATTAAGACCATATAGTAATCCTGACAGCAATAAATATCATTGTGATTGTATTATGTTTGTGTATTTCCTGTTTCTTTTATGATTTTCTTAAGGGAGAGTTCAATTGTCTAGCCTCTTGTACCAAGGGTTGTGAACTTGTGGTGGCAAAATAATAGCATTTTGGTTAATGAGATTGTGGGTGTTTCCCTTCAGTATAATAGGGTTGAAAAGGAATTCTTTATTTGAGTCGAAACTTGAAATCAAGTCCCAGGGGTGTTTCGTATTCGATATTTCATTTTTTATTTATTGCAAGTAACCCTTTAAAACGAAAAATTTTGAGCTAATTTAATTCTTTTTAAGGAGTGCACATATTTTTCGACAATAATACAATAAGACAAGCACGGTAAGTAAAAAAATATTTTTGAAAAATATGTAGCTTGTTTGTTTTGGTTTTTTATTTTTATTAAAGATTTTTTTTGTAAAACAAATTGGTGAAAAAATGAAAAACACTTATCATATCATATGTTTTTCTCATTTTTTTGGTGAAAATAATTAAATATATTTTCATGTTTATTTTTATCAACTTAAAATAAAATTTGAAAACAAAACTATATGAAGATTCTGTGTTTGGTTGTGTTTCCAAACAATGATTCTACATCTATATTCTAATATGATATTTGGAACGAATGTAAGAATTTTTTCTAAATATGACTTAATGTGGCTTATGTATAATTATACTAGATTCATCTCATTAAGAAAGATACATCTACATTAATTAGATGGTGACTAATCATTGATGAATGCACCTATATATACAATGTATAAAAGACTAATGGAGATAATGTTAATGCATTGTATGTGATAGATTCATTATGAATGAATTTTAGAGATGCATTATGTATCTATTATGAATATGTAAGATACATTAATCTATCTAATGAATTCATTAATATAGAAGATGCATTATGTATCATGAATGTATAAGATACATTAATCTATTTAATGAAGTTCATCGAATGAATGGATTCTTTGATGGGAAGAATACTAATATAAATAGTGTAAGGTCCCAAACTATACTCTCCATCAAAAAAAAAAAACTCAAGTTGTCATCACAAGAAGGCTCCTATCACCTAGAGAGAGAGAGAGAGAGAAGTGGTTTGAAGATCTTAGACAAGTAAAGAACTTGAAGATCAAGGTCTTTCATTCAAGGTTTCTCTTTCTTAAAAGAGGATTTCATACTATCATGAATCAATGTATGTATTCACTTATTTTGTATAGTAGAAATTCATATAATTTTCATGTATAGAATTGAATCCTTAACAGTTTTTAGTTTATGTTCCGCAAAGTTTTCTATCAATTGGTATCAGAGCTTGATTCTCAATTCTGATGCGTGAAACGTATAAGTATGAATTTCATTTTATGATGATGTTTTATGTAACAAGTGCAAAACCTTGATTTACACTAGTTCAATTTTATTTTTATTTATTAAAATAAAAATTGAAAATTATTGAACAAGTGGTAATTAATATAATGTTTTATGCACTTATAATGTTTCGTTACACACCTTATGAGTTGAAACATTATTGTTGATCAACCCAACGAAGGTTCAACACTATGTATGTTTGAACAACCGAGATGATTAGTATAATAAATATAACAATAAGTTTTTCTGCCCAACGGTGATAAACTCGTTACGGTCTTAATGATTATTTTATTTTATTTTATATTGTTTATTTTTATTAGTCATCTCATTTATTTTTATGAATTGTTAAAATATATTCAGTGTGTTTGGTTTGAGTTTTCTGGATTAAGTTTTTTGAAAACTAACTTTTTTTATTTTCTTATTTTTTTGTTTTTAGTGAATATTTTTTAAATTTTAAGTATTTTTTTAACTTTTTTAGATGCACCTTACTTAGATGTATCTAAAAAGTAAAAAATTTGTGAAAAAATATTCTAAAAAATTAATTAATACATAAAAATACAAAAAATATACTTAATTCTTGTATTTTTTTTTTTTGTATTTTTTGTATTTTTTGTATTTAGTGAATTTTTAAAAGATTTTTTTTACATTTTTTTTACTTTTTAGGTGTATTTATGTTAGGTGTGTCTAAAAAGTAAAAAAATTGCTTAAAATATTAAAAAAATTCAGTAAAAACAAAAAAACACGAAAAATAAGAAAGTATAATTTTTTAAAAAGTATTTTTTGAAAAGTGGAAACAAGCAAGGTGATTGTTATTCGGCCCAACGGAAGGATAACTTGATTTCGTATCTAACTAATTATATTTTATAGTTAGATATATTTAACTTGTGGTGTTATTTTTATAAGATGTGAAAAGTAGTTTTCTTTATTATATTATGTAATGGATATTATGTGTTTGCAGCATTGAATCCTACTGCAATTAATAGTTACTTGTCTGGTATTGAAGCTTTGAGTGAAACTAATTTTAAGAAATGGAAGGAACAAATTAGAATTGTTTTGGGAATTATGGATTTAGACTATGCATTAAGAGAGCCAGCTCCTACAAAGCCTAATGATACAAGTTCTAAGGAACATATGACTTTATATGAAAAATAGGAATGCTTTAATTGCTTAAGTCTAATGATTATGAAAGGCTCAATTACGCTTGCAATTCAATGAGCAATCCCTGTTTCTGAAAGTGCAGTGAGCTATATGAAATCTATTGAAGAATAATTCATTGGAACTTCTAAATCCCTTGCTAGTACTCTCATGATTAAAATGATGACAATGAAATATGATGGTTTGAGTGGTGTTCGTGAATATATCTTAAAGATAAATGACATGGCCTCTCAATTAAAGGGAATGGACATGGAAATTTCTGAAGGTTTTCTTGTTCATTTCATTATGACTTTTCTTCCTGCGCAATTTGGTGCTTTTAAGATCAATTATAATACGCAGAAAGATAAGTGGAAGATGAGCGAGTTAATTGCCATGTGTGTTCAAGAAGAAGAGAGGCTTAAAGTTGAAAAGCCTGATATGGCTCACCTTACCACCTTGGGTCCAACCAAAAAGATTTTCAAGAAAGGCAAAGTGAGAAGAAGAAGAATGCAAATGATGAAACTCACAAGGCTAATGAAGAAAATAAGATTCGATGCCATTTCTGTCGAAAGAAAGGTCACATACAAAAGGACTGTCCAGGTTTTAAAAGTTAGTTGGACAAGAAAGGTAACACTCAATACTTTGTGTCTTATGAATCCCTTTTGGTAGATGTTCCATCAAATTCTTGGTGGATTGACACTGGTGCAAGTATTCACATAACAAATTCCATGCAGAGATACCTTACAAGTTGGAAACTAAATAAAGGAGAACGAACCATTACGGTTGGGAATGGAATAAAAGTGGACGCTGAGGCTATTGGCACCCTCCGTCCAATTTTGGACTCTGGTTTCATTTTAGATTTAGTAAACATAGTTTATGTTCCTGTTTTTACTAGAAACCTAATTTCTGTTTTATAACTTGATTCATGTGGTTATGAATTTAAGTTTGGAAATAATAGTCTATTTATTCCACAATTCTCATATGATTGGTTCTAGTACTTTATATGGTAATCTTTATTTATTGAATTTAGATTCCACTTATGCACAATCTCTTTTATCCTTTAAAGTAAACGACTTGGTAAATAAAAAGAGAAAGCGAGTGAATGAAAATTTATCCATATTGTCGCATAAGCGCTTGGGCCACATATCAAGAGAAAGGATGGAACGTATTATTAAAGACGAAATTTTAAATTCACTTGATTTTTCTGATTTTAGTACTCGTATGAATTGCATTAAAGAAAAATACACAAAGACAAAAAAAAAAGGGTGCTACTAGGACTACTGAATTATTAGACACAACTCATACTGATATATGTAGTCCCTTTACTGTTCCAACTATTTCTGGACATAAATATTTTATTACTTTTATTGATGACTTTTCTAGTTATACTTATGTGTCTCTTATTCGTGAAAAATCAGAAGCACTAGATATGTTCAAACTCTATAAAGCTGAAGTTGAAAATCAACTTGGCAGACGGATTAAAAGTGTAAGATCTGATAGAGGTGGTGAATATTATAGTAGATTCACTGAGTCGGGTTAAAATCCAAGTGCTTTTGCTTTATTTTTGGCTGAGAATGGTATTGTTGCTAACTACATAATGCCTGGTACACCTGAGCAAAATGGTGTAGCTGAGTGACGAAACCGTACTCTTTTGGACATGATGAGAAGTATGATGACTAACTCTTCTTTGCCAGATTACTTGTGGGGTGAAGCTTTAAAAACTGCTGTACATGTTCTTAATAGGGTTCCTAGTAAGGCTGTGCCTGTAACTCTTTATGAGTTATGGGTTGGTAGGAAACCTAATTTGAATTATTTACATGTATGGGGTTGTCTTGCAGAAACAAAAATTTTCAACCCACAAATAAAGAAATTAGACCCTAGAACTACAAGTTATTATTTCATTGGATATTCTGAGAGATCAAAGGGTTTTAGATTCTATTGTCCCACTCATAGCACAAGAACTGTTGAAACTAGAAATGCCGTGTTCTTAGAGGATGAAAACATTAGTGGGAGTATGAATCTCAAAAATATTTCTTTGGAGGAAAATCGTGTTTTTACGCCTTCCACGATTATCCAAGAAAATGTAGTACTTGAACCTATTGGTACACAAGAGATTTCTCACATTGGAAAAGAAGTTGTCCCAGTTGCAGAACAACCTTTACGTAGATCACAAAGAGAAAAGAAACCAGCCATATCAGATGACTATGAGGTTTACCTAAATGAGTGTGATATAGGCTTGGAGAATGATCCTGTTTCTTATGCCTAAGCCATGAAAAATGGAAATGCAACTCAATGGTTAAATGCCATGAAAGACGAGTTAAAATCCATGAAAGACAACAATGTCTGGGATCTTGTAGAATTGCCTAAGGGAGCCAAAACTGTTCGATGCAAATGGGTTTTTAAAACCAAGCATGATCCTAAAGGCAATGTCGAAAGATACAAGGCTAGATTAGTTGCTAAAGGATACACTCAAAAAGATAAGATAGACTATGAGGAAACTTATTCTCCTATTTCTAATAAAGATTCCTTGAGAATAGTCGTGGCCTTAGTAGCTCATTATGATTTAGAGTTGCATCAAATGGACGTTAAAATAACTTTTTTGAATGGTGACTTGCATAAAGTGGTCTACATGGACCAACCTGAAGGTTTTCAGGATGAAAGCAAGGAAAATATGGTTTGTAGGCTTAAGAAGTCCATATATGGTCTAAAGCAAGCATCTCGACAATGGTATCTTAAATTTCATGAAGTTCTCACCAAATTTGATTTTAAAGATAATGTGGTTGATCAATATGTCTACCTTAAAATCGGTAGGAGCAATATTTGTATTATAGTTTTGTATGTTGATGATATATTGCTTGCTAGCAATAATTTGGGAATGATACATGAGACAAAAAAATTCCTTACGAGAAATTTTGAAATGAAAGATCTTGGTGAAGCCTCTTTTGTCATTGGGATAGAAATTCACCGAGATAGGTCTTGTGGTATTTTAGGATTGTCCCAAAGAGCCTATATCGAAAAGGTTCAACATGCAGAACTGTTCAAGTAGTGTTGCCCCTATAGTTAAGGGTGATAAATTTAGTGAATTTCAGTGTCCCAAAAATAATTTAGAAATGGAACAAATGAAAGAAATTCCTTATGCCTCTGCAATTGGGAGCATTATGTATGCTCAAGTTTGTACATGTCCTGACATAGCATTTGTAGTTGATATGCTTGGTCGATACCAAAGCAATCCTAGACTTGATCATTGGAAAGCAGTTAAGAAAGTGTTGCGATATTTATTATTTACAAGGCACTAAGGATTACATACTCACGTATCAAAGAACAGACAGCCTTGAAGTCGTTGGTTATTCAGATGCTGATTATGCTGGATGTAAACACACTTGAAGTCTACTTCTGGATACATTTTTATGCTTGCTGATGGACCAATTTCATAGAAGAATCATAAGCACTCTCTGATAGCCTTTTCCACTATGGAGGCAGAGTTCATAGCATGTTATGAAGCCACATGTCATGCAGTATGGCTAAAGAATTTCATATCTGAATTACAACTTGTCGATTCAATTTCGAAGCCTTACAGATTTACTGTGATAATGATGCTATTGTGCGGTTTTCCAATAATAACAAAACTTCAGGAGGATCAAAGCATATTGATATCAAGTATCTAATTGTTAAAGAAAGAGTTCTGAATCAGATTGTTTCCATTTCTCATATTGGTACTACACTCATGTTAGCAGATCCTTTTACTAAAGGTCTTACACCTAAGCTCTTTCAAGAACATGTTGCGCGCATAGGCTTAGTAGAAAGTTTATTATGTTTAGACTTGAAATGAGTGTATTATGTTCGTGATAAATGTTATGTTATAATCATCTTCTATTAGAAATGATTATGTTTGTTGTTTTCATTCTTCATACTTGTGCACAATTTAGAAGAAAATGTAAACAACGTGACTGTTATAAATGAATTAGCATTGATCACCATTATGTTGCTAACGTCATCTCTGTGATTTAAGATTCACTTATTCATGTTGATGAAAAATATTAACACTATAACCATTGTACAGTCTTGATCAAAGTGTAAATCATTGACCACAATGATTTGGTGCTAATAATTTCATTGAACATAATCTAATGGTGATGGTGCAATCTTCTAATAGGAGAACGTTTGCCATATTATGATAATCTAGTGACGTAATATAATAATGTAAGCCAAGTGGGAGATTGTAAGAATTTTTTCTAAATATGACTTAATGTGGCTTATGCATGATTATACTAGATTCATTTCATTAAGAAATATACATGTACACAATTAGATAGTGCCTAATCATTAATGAATGCACCTATATATACAATGTATAGAAGAATAATGGAGATAATGTTAATGCATTGAATGTGATAGATTCATTATGAATGAATCTTAGAATGCATTATGTATCTATTATGAATATGTAAGATACATTAATCTATCTAATTAATTCATTAATATAGAAGATACATTATGTATCATGAATGTATAAGATATATTAATTTATTTAATGAAATTCATTGAATGAATGAATTCTTTGATGGGAAGAATACTAGTATAAATAGTGTAAGGTCCCAAACTACACTCTCCATCAAAAAAAAAAAACTCAAGTTGTCACCACAAGAAGGCTTCCATCGCCTAGAGAGAGAGAAGTGGTTTGAAGATCTTAGACAAGTAAAGAACTTGAAGATCAAGGTCTTCCATTCAAGATTTCTCTTTCTTAAAAGAAGATTTCATACCATCATGGATTAAGGTATGTATTCACTTATTTTGTATAGTAGAAACTCATATAGCTTTCATGTATAGAATTGAATCTTTAATAGTTATTAGTTTATGTTAAGCAAAGTTTTCTTTCAACGAATTCTCAAATTATATTTCCACAATTCTGCAGAAAAATCTGTGTGGGGCACGTTTTTCAGTTTTTTTTTTTCAAATTTGGCCTAACCGGTCGTCTGACCGGTTGACCGGAACAGTGCATTTTTTTTTTTACAATTGACATATGTTAATTTTTATATATTTAAAAAAAATATTTTTTGAATTTTTTAAATTTTTTTACGTGCTTTAATAGAATTTTGAGTTGTATGCTTGGTTATGAATTATAAGTTTTTGTATCAAATATCATATGTCACATCAAAAATTTTTCGCTCAATTCAAAACTCTTTTACCAAATAAATTTTCTACACTCAAATCATAATTTCAAAACTCACAAACTCAAAATACAACTCATACTTTCAAATCATATTTAAGACTACTTTAAAAAGATGATTATAATCAAATTTTTATGAGAGAGGAAAGTAAATTATAATCTACTTTCCAAAAGATCCCTTAAAAAATTCTATCAAATGCAACCTATTATTTTTCTTCTAAAGTTATTGGGTGCCTAAGAGCATCTCCAATGCACTAGGCATATAATACTTGTTAGTTAAAATGCCTAGTGTGATTCACTTTTTTCAATTCCAATGCACTAGGCATATGATTAGGCATTTTGGCTCAACTCATATTCACTAGCTACATCTAGCTAGCCTTCAACGCTAGGGACTTTTTTATGACAAATATTTCCTATAAGACAGCATCTCCAATGCACTAGGCATATAATACTTGTTAGTTAAAATGCCTAGTGTGATTCACTTTTTTCAATTCCAATGCACTAGGCATATGATTAGGCATTTTGGCTCAACTCATATTCACTAGCTACATCTAGCTAGCCTTCAACGCTAGGCAAAATGTATTCAATCATTAGGATTATTTCCCTCCATATTTGTTGTTGACGTGTCATTCTATAAAATTAATAGTATTTGGACAAATAGCTAAAATAAAGAGTATGGTTGGAGTAAAAACATAAAACAGTTGATAGGCAAAATAAAATATATACTTTATAGTAATATTTGGATAGGTAAAATGCCTACTAATGGGTGTCTCACTCTTACAGATTCAACTGCAGACGATAAGTTACGTCTATAAAACCTCTGTGCCTGTGCATTGAACTAAAACCCAGCCAGCGCAGGGGTTTTACATACTTTCTTCGTCTTCTACTTCTTCTTCTTCTTCGTTGCTGAACACAGTCAATCATTGATCACAGCTACGAATGGCAAATCACTGACTTTGTAGCAAGCTCAGACTCTCCCCATCATACACTATGCTAGTATCAGCTTTCTAGGTTTTCAATCAAGCACTTAAAAAAAAAAAAAAAAATGAGGTATTCTCGAATCATTTCTCAATCTCTTTCACGCCATTGCACAATCACATCTCAGAACCCTAGATTTTTACCCAAGAATTCACACTTGACAACTTCTTCTACAAACTTTCCCGTGAACCCTTATTTTGCCCGCTCGAGGATTCAATCGTGGAATGATTTGAATTTTGCTCGGGATTACACATCGTCCGCGCAAGAATCGAAGACGGGTCCTCCGGAGAGAGTATCGGCGATTGTGGATGAGATCTCTGGACTTACTTTGCTCGAAGTGGCCGATTTGACGGAGCTTTTGAGGAAGAAATTGGACATAAATGAGATGCCGGTGATGGTGGTGATGATGCCGGGGATGGGGTTCGGCATGAAAGCGGCGGTGAAGGGCGGTGGTGGGGCCAAGGGGGAGGAGAAGAAGGCAGAGAAGACCGCGTTTGATTTGAAGCTCGAAGGAGGGTATGATGCTGGGGCCAAGATTAAGATTATTAAGGAGGTTAGGGCGTGTACTGATTTGGGGTTGAAGGAAGCAAAAGATTTGGTGGAAAAGGCGCCTACCCTTTTGAAGAAGGGGGTAACCAAGGAGGATGCGGAAAAGATTATCGAAAAGATGAAGGAGGTTGGCGCAAAAGTTACAATGGAGTGAGGTAATGAAGTTATTCTCATTTATGATTTAGTTTCTGTCTTTTGTTGAATGGATTGAATTCAAATCTATAGCATCCAATTTTATTGGGAAAGTCATGTTTTTTATTGTTTTTATTATGCAATGGGGTGTACTATTTTGTTTTATCAATCTGATTTTAGTGCTATTCTCAATGCATTGTGTTAATGGTATCAAATATAATGGCAAGTCATAAACTAATAATTGGCTGCCTTCCTTTTTTTGTGTATATGTTTTAAGTGTAATTTATATGACTAATTTTGGGTAATGGCTTTGTATGTGGACCCTCTTGAGATGTTGCTATGATGGTTATGCTCCCTAATGTCATTCGAAGAGCCTTACCAAGATCAGGGCATCGCTAGTGTCTTTACTTTTCTACAATGTTTGGCAGTACTTTGAAATATTGATGAATACATATCCTAATATCTTTTCTTGATTTGGATGAAATATGTGCTTATGTGAAGATGAAACAGAAGAAATGGGAAGTTGTATTAGTTGTACCTAATTAGTAGGACCTTCCTTGAGGCGAGTCTCTTAGTCAGGTTTTATGCTAGGATTATTGCCTAGGTTGATACAGGGATACATGAAAGTCAAGATTTGAACATTATCAGAATATTGTGGGTGAATGGAGGGATAGATGCCAAAAATTAATGGTTGCAAAGCTCATCAATTTAGTTTTGCTAGTGAGAGTGTTTTGCCTCGTGCCTTTGAATCAGAATCAGATCTGATCTGATACATATTGCTATGAATCTTAAAGAACTAGAATCATGTCAAACTTAAAAATTCTGATTCTTAATAGTTCCAAATTATTCGTTCATTTGAATTTTGACACAATATTCTCCAAATATATGTTGGTTACACTTTTCTGGAATTAGTTGTGTTTTGTTTTTGATAACCGGGAACAGTGTCCTAGGCAGGGTCCTTTGGGCCCCAGGAGCGTAAACCTAAGGATCAAGCAACACAATTGCATGATCCGGGAAAATGAGAGGAGCGGACAAGAGTCAGATTTAAGTTAGGCATGTAGGGAGCATACCCACTGACCAACTAGACTATCCCCTCAGGATAAAACTCAAGATAAAATTCTTACATACCTTGTCTGTGATATATGTAGATCTAAATAATCACAAACAAAAGAATGCTCATATTGTTGATTCATGGGCTTAGTTGATCCATCATTTGAATCATTTTTTGTGCCGGTAGTGTTTTTTTATAGATACATTAGGTGTTTTCTTTCATTTCTTTTGTGTGCGGGTGGCATCCCCTTGGTTCTGTTATTAATACTTATCCAGGAAAAAAAAAAAGAATGCTAATCTTTTCATCATTGATAACTAAAACCTAATACTAAAAAGTGGTAGAACTTAGATATGAATGAATCAAAACCACCAAAGAGTTGAAGGCAACATTTAGAGATAAGTATCCATTTTCCTTTTATGGGGATATTTATGTATTTCTTTTTGTATGTCCAAAAGAAAAACCTCAAAATATTGATATTATGGGGGGTGTGTGTGTGTAAATGAATAAGGAGAGGGTGGACCAAGTTTGAAAAGCGTATTTTCTTTGTTATAGGCAATGGGAATTGGCTGAGATTTTAGGTAGATGTTGGGTATGGGGGTTTGCCTTTGAGGTCGAGTTAACCTGCTTCATTTGGGATTGTGGTTAGCAAGGAGTGATAGTTGATTGTATAGAGGGAGAAGGAGACATGGTGACCGGGAATGTGGTTTTTTGACTTGACTTAATTGGTAGCTAGGGATGATTAAGGAATCAAGAGCATTTGATGCAAGTGGGAGAGGATAAGATTAGGTGGATAGCTTCCAAGGTTGGAAAGTTTGAGTTGAAGCCATTTTATAGGAGGCTAATTGAGATTGACAGGAAATTTTCCTTGTAAGGAAATTTGGAGAGCCATAGGCTCTCACAGTCCTTTCTAAGTTTTGTTTTCTTTGCCTGGTGCCCTCTCGTTGGAGGATTCTGAGGTTGATAACTGTTGGAATATGTCCCATATCGCCTAGAGTTGCCCTATCTGTGTTGGTTATAAGGTTCCAGTTTTCCTCTCTTTAATAACTAGGTTTTAAGGAGAAGTGTGGGCTGAGCTTTTCAATTTGGTATCAGAACTTAGTTGGGCCTGTGATTAGTGTGCTGTTTGTCCGGCTACTGTATGTTGTGGTCCAGGAGGGTGTGTTGGAATGTGTCCCACATCACCTAGAATTGTCCTATCTGTGCTGGTTATAAGGCTTCAGGTTTTCTCTCCTTAATACCTAGGTTTTAAGGAGAATTGTGGGTTGAGTTTTTCAATTATAACTTGCTTAAGAGAAAGAAAATCATCACTAATTGTTGTTGCTTGTGTAAATCAGTAGGGAAATTAGTGGTCATTCTATAGGAGGCTTATTGAGATGGACGTAGGATATTTTCCTTCTGAAGGGGTTTGAGAGCTAAAGTCCCTTCTAAGTATGCTTTATTTAAGTGGGAGGCATATCATGGAGAGGATTCTAATGATTGGTAATTTGATTTAGGGATAGAAATCATCCATGCCAACCCTTGCTTCACCACTGTTGGTACCGCATGTGTAAAGAAACGAGGGAGTTGGCGGAGCATATACTGGTTTACATTGTCGGGTGGCTGAGGATATGTGTTCTTTCCTGTTGGACTCGCTTGGAGTGTCATGAGTGTTCCCTAGAACAGTGGTTGGCAAAATGCAATGTTGGAAAGGAGATGGGGTGAGCAAGACGAAGGGGAAGGTGTGGAATGCAGCTCCTTTGTGCTTGATGTGGTGTATGTGCAGGGAGAGGAATCATCATTTATTCCTTTGAGAGTGTAGAGGATTCTTTTGTTTGTATGGAAAACAAATCTTTGAGGTTTTTTATTTTTATTTTTTTCATTTGGTGTCAGGGAGGGCAGATCCTTTCCTTGATGGGTGTTTGGATTTTGTTGGCAATTTTATAAGTAGCACCAACTATATATATGGGGCTTGCTCTCTTATCTTTTTCCTCCGCCTTCCTCTCATAATTGACCCTTATCTTTTCTTTTCTACTATGCTTATCCATCCATCAATGACATCTAGTTGGGTGAGCGATAGTAGCTCCTGTTTAGTAATAGATCTACTTCTGCTGCTGCTAGTAGAATATAACACAAAAAAGCACGTAAGGATCTGGAATACTAAAATAAACTGATCAGGATCATATACAGCCCGGTATAACCAGAAAGGATAGTCGTGATGTCCCTACATGGCTTGCCAGCTTGATTAGTATGGAGCTGAAGGTGAGGGTTTCCAGCAAGCCCCTTTTTCTTCCTTTCCCTTTAAGTAAGGATTAGTATATATATATTACTAGTGGATAGTGGCAACTTTATATGTAGGAGATTCCAACCTGTTATTAAGTGTAAGTGGAGAATGCAGCTCTAAATGGTAGGGGTGATTTTCATTTTGTTGATGGTGGAGGAAACTTAAACCCTTGACATGCTCTTTATTTATCTAAGCCGAGCTTTTCATCGTAGGTGTTGACTCAATAAATGGTGATCAGACAATCTTATGCTCTATTTGGTTCAATGAAATGGAATGGTCATTCCTTTAGCTTCCCTATTGACTGATCATTCTCTTATAATGGTAAATGATGATTGCATTTGCTATGTATCTACATTATATTTTTAAGTAACCAAACATGGGAATAGACATTTTCATGGAATGATCATTCCATTTCATTTCATTCAAGTGAACCAAATACTACCTTAATACACTCCTCTATTTCATACATCTTGTTCTAATTCTTTGCACCACATCATCTTTGTTCTTTCTTTCTTTATGAAACTTTAGAGTCTATAGGATCTTTCTATAATTCTAAGGTAAAAGTTTACTCTTGTTTCGTTAAATAAAACCCTATAGTCCTCAAATAATATATACCAAGAAATATCCTATTGTATATTTCTAGTATGTTCAATTCAACCATAATCAATGCAAAAAGATAATGGATTTAGTGGTGATCCTTGTTGCAAAATGTATGTCGTATCCTAGATTTATTATTCATAATCTAATTTTGATAGTAGATTCTCATGTCTGGTGTCAAAACAAACCAATATCACTCTTACACCTAATGTACTTAGGCTAGTTGAAGGTTCTTGTCTTGCATTTCGCTGGAGGGTTTTGGATGGACTCTTCTTGTACAATATTAAAGGAATTATATGCATGTTTACTGTGCTCAATTAAAAAAATCAAGGCATTTCTTTTTAGCTATGTCAGTATCTGATAATCTTTGTGTGTTTTTTTTTTCCTCTTCAGATTTCTTCATAGGAAATGCAAAAGGCCATATCAATTGTCAAACAAGAGCAGGAATAGGTGATGTGGCGCATCGGAGTTACTGATGGCAAGCATTGAAGATTTGTGCGATAATAACTATAATGCTTGAGGTTTCTTTTTTTTTTGGTGGGGGGGGGGGTGATCAATGCTGCTTTTTGATGTTCCATTAACCTTTTCTTTTTTGTTTTTTGGTCTGACATTAACTTAGAAGAAGCACATTTAATCTCAAGGGATGTTTTATACATCACACGGTTCTGTCATGGAAATGATTTTCAATGATGGATTCATTTTGTTCAAAAAAGCATGCAATTGTGACTTGTCTACCTCATCACAAATGACTTTTCACCGTTTAACATCCACAAGCTTCCTTCAAGAGGGGGAAATGTTATACAGAACAGGTTCCTGGTGTATGTTGTGATAAATTGATAATAAATGGAACTTCAGTGATGCAGTAAAGCTTGTTCCTATTTTGAGGTACCTTACAATTAAATGGACTCTATTGTGCCATTTCAATCTCTTATCATGCTCTTTCAGATATGGGGTTTTACATCAACCCTTTGACTAACTGAATTTAATCATGGCAGATTTTTTGTGTACAGTTGTGTTTTTGAGCAATGTGGCATATGTTGTATTTTGGAGACTATTATCAAGAAATATTTACAGACTTGAACTGCCCCAAAAGGAGAACAAAAATCATTTTGAGCCAAGAACAGTGATTCCTCAATTAGAAGCTCGCAACCAGATGTTTCGCAACAACCAGTTTGAACACCCTTTGTGTCCATATGCTGATTACCCTTTCTGTCCATTTACTAAGTTTGACTTGCTATTGGAAGGCGGAATCACAACATCCGAAGTATGAAAAGAGGGAGAGTAAATAATATTTTGGAATTCTATAATTTTTAATTTTTAATTTTTAATCTTGGAAAAAACTATCCTTGTTGAAGTATGAAAATGACAAAGCTAGTAATTGCCCCATTTCAAAAGAATATTAATGTAATGGGATTGTATTTGAGTATTTGAATATGTTAACGTGTCTTTAAAACATATTTATATAATTATTTCAAGTTTCTTATCTTGTGTTTTAAAGTTACATTTAATAAATTTCATGAAGTTTTAGCTACTAATTGATAGTTGACATAATTCAACAGAATTGTGATGACAAAAGTGCCTGGGCAAGGAAGGAGTTTATATGAAACAAGATTTCCTACTTTGTATAATTTTTTTAATATTGCAAAAAATCTCAGATACTTGAATTTAACTAATTAAAAACTTATTTAAAAATTGACTCATCAAATAATATTTAAAAAAATGGTTAAAATCAAACATGTTTTAAAACCAAATAAAATTAAATTACTAAATCTTTTGAGTGAAATTTGTTTAAAATCTACTCATAAGTAAATAAAATTTTAACACCTTTGGCTCAACTCATATCATTCACAACCATGTCCCATTGCCAATGCCAAACCCTATAAACAGTGCTCTCCTATTTTAATTTTTCTTGTCTTTTTTTTAGTATTAAAAAAAAGGGTCATGTAAGTTTCGTACCGGTTAAAATATCACCTGAGGCAATATACAAGGACACCGACGGACGATGGAGAATCAAACCACGTAAAAACATTTTTGAGCCGATCCATAACATAACCACTAAACCCAATCCTCGGGACACTATTTTCTGCTATGATATGTTAAGGCTGGAAAAACGATACGGCACCGTTTAGTGCGACTTAAACCGGGTCGTCATCGATCTGTTTTAAAACCTTTGCTCACCCTGATCACCAGACAGACGGAACCGTCATTCGGAGACGAATGTCGGCGTTAAAGTCGGTGAACTGGCAATGGGAGAACGCCACCGCCGGTGCTCTGGCCGGACTTGCTACCGTCTCTTTCTCTCACCCCCTCGATGTCGTCCGCACTAGGTTTCAAGGTCTCTGTCCGTCTGTGTCTGTCTACGTATATATATTGAATCAGAGTCAATTCGGAACTTTTATCATGATTTGCTCTTTTTTCTTTTTCTTTTCTTTTTTTTTTTGGTTTAATTGATTGATTTATTTTCAGTTAGCGATGGCCGAACCTCCAATCTTCCCTCCTACAAGAACACTCATCAAGCCGTCTGGACTATAGCTCGTACAGAGGTTCGTTTTTGTTTTCTCTGATTTCCTCAATTCATATTTGCGAGCTTCCTAGGGTTTTCGTTTACTTTTCTCTACATAAATTAGAGCTTCTTGCACACTATGTTTGGATTGAGTGATTTGGAGAGAAAAGCAAAGAAATGGAGAGATAACTTGTTTGGATAACCTAAGTGGAGAGAAATAGGAAAAAATGGAGAGAAATAGTGAGAAATTCATTTCTCTTATGAACTTCATTTTCAATCTTCTCAAAAGCGAAGAGATTGAGGGAGAAAAGAAATTATTATTTTTATAATACCAATTTTGTCCCTATAAAAATAAAAGAAATAAAATGATTGAAAATATAAAAAGATTATTTTAGTAATATAATATAAAATAAGATAATTTCTTTTCTTTTCTCTTAATGAAATCTAATCAAACAAGAATGAGAGAAATCACAATCATTTTTTTTCTGTTATTTATTCCTTGTCTAAACAAAAAGGAGAGAAATCACAATTATTTCATTTCTTTTATTTTCTCTTGTAACTTAAGTAATCATTTCTTTTCTTTAGAGATTCCCAAACACAGTGTTACTGTTAGCTGAAAACAAAATCCTACAACCATAAAACAGATATATTGCATATATGTTGGAGATTTTGAAGTGGGTAAACTGGTTTTGCTACTCCAGTTTCATTCAATTTTATTATCAACCCCTAAATGTGATGGAGGACAAGTAATGTAGCCTTGCATTTGGAAGGCTTGACGGTACTGCTGAAAAATGCTGAGATATTTGTTTCCTTTTTCCCTCATCCATTCTTAAATCATGTTAGTGTTTTGTTCTTTGTTTCAGGGTCTCAGAGGGCTTTACGCGGGTTTTTATCCTGCAGTTCTTGGATCAACTATCTCATGGGGTCTGTATTTCTTCTTGTAAGTGCCACTTTGTGTTTGATTTTCTGTATAATAAGTTCCACTTTGTCTGTGTTTGCATCTGTATCTGTATCCGTGTTTCAGGGTCTCAGTGGGCTTTATGTGGGTTACTTGATTTTACAGTTTTTAGTTTCAAACACAATTTAATCTGTGAACTATACACTGCAAAATTCATAAGCAGCTTATTAGAATAGATTCTCCCATCACGATTATAACTTTTGATGGTCTTCTTAATATCAATATTTGACATTTAAAAATGTTACATAGAGCAAATTTTGTGATAACATGTATTTATCAAAAAAAAAAAAAAAAAAGTTTGTGATAACATGTAGTGTTGTCTGTAATAATTATCTATTTACTATTCTGTTTGAATACCTATAGAGGAAGTTAAACAAAACCTACTTCAACCAATCTTTCAGCCTGTACTCTGTAGGTTCACGTGGTTTAAGTTAGATTTTTATTATTTATTACCTTGAAAGATATCCTCATCTAACTCGTGAACTTAAAGGTTTGTTCTGTTTGTAGCTATAGTAAAGCTAAACAAAGGTATTCAAAAGGTGGTCAGGAGCTAACCCCAGGTCTTCATCTCGCTTCAGCCGCAGAAGCAGGAGCTTTGGTCAGTATATGAACTCCTGTTATTTTTTATTGGCAACATGAAAATTTTATTAAAAATGAGAATGAAAAAGTAAAAATAAAAAATAGCCCAAGGAGAACAAGAAGTCCACAAAGAAGACTAGAAAAAGAAAATTAGTTACAATTGAAGGACAACCTTCCAATCCCTAGAAATCAAAAACAAAGGCACCCCCTTGAAGGGAGTTGATACCGAAACCCAAAAAAATAACAAGTAACAGTACTTCTTCCATATGGCATCAGTATTGAGCTTCCTATGAGCCGAAGACCATGCAAAAATTTTAACTTTAACAGGCACATATGCTTTCCAAATCTACTTATGAAGGAAAAATGAAACATTAGGATCATCAATAATCACATCAAAAAAGGCTAACAAGTGAACAAACTCGATTATTGGACAGACCACAATCTTTTATCACAAGAATCACGATTCAAGCAAACCCCTTCAAGAATGAACTTCAGTTTGACTTGGCAAAATACCCTAAGGTCCATTTAGCTGACTTTCTCTGTTGTTCTGCAAGAGTGTCATGTAAGTTGCTTATTACCTGTGGGGAGTGTACTGTTTCCAATATCTATTGGAATCAGACTGGATTCATACTCTTTAATGAAACTCGATCAAAATATATTTTAATGAAAATCAAGGTTCTGGAAAATGTGCATGTATATGGAACTTAAAGTGGAATAATTGCCAGCACACCATAATGAGACTGGTCCTTGGAAAGTTTTGAAGGGTCACTGCAGTTGAAATGTTTTTGTTGAAGTGTCTTGGTATCTGGTTATTTTCTTGTTTGGAGCTGTGCAGCCACAGTTTGTGGGTACTTAAGTGAAGACAGAATATGTTCTTATTATGTTTTTAGTCGCTTGGAGTGCCTATGTTACATGTTCATGTGGTGCAATTTGTGTTCTATGTTTTGTAAAAGGCAATATTATGGAAATTTCAGGTCTGTTGTTGCACAAATCCCCTTTGGCTTGTGAAAACAAGATTGCAGCTTCAGACTCCTCTTCATCAGGCACATCCATATACAGGGTTCCACGGTCTGCTTCACATCTTACATTAACTTCCTAGTAGTGTGGTCTCTGAGATATCCTTGTTTCCTTGTGAGTCTCAACTTTGTCTATAAATATTAGAAATCAATTCAAGCATAACAATTCTTTATGCTCCAAATTAGCAATCATCTTATGTTATGTGCCATAGACTCATATTCTTTTGTCGATCACTTTACTTGTTTCATTAGATTTATTACCCTGTGCCTGGTGTTCATGAAGTGTGCTTTTGATTGTATCATACAACATTTTGTTTTATAAGAATTATCATTCAACATAATCACATACTGTAAGTTGTTATTTCTTAGATTTTTTTTAGCTTGTTTTGTTTAATTTTATTATAGTCATTAAGTTTCCACTTGTTTCCATGGCAACCTTTCACACAGTCTTTTATTCATGCTTCTTATACATATATACATGCATTCTTATGTTTATAAAGGTACATTTATGTGTATGTGTGTGTGGATATGTATTTACTTACCTTTTTGGTCTTGTTTCTATAAATGTGTAATTTCTTAGGCATCAATTTATATTTCAGATGCTGTAAAAACCATACTGAAAGAAGAAGGATGGAGCGCATTATATAAAGGGATTGTGCCAGGTCTCTTTCTGGTAAGATAATTTTTCTTCTTCTGGATATCTCTTTTATGGGGTCATGTCGGACCGTTGGAGTAGACAATGTTGTGACAGTGGTGGTGACAGTTTACGGAGTCTTGCTGGACCCTTGTAGAAACTAACCGGAATCAATGTCGGGACAGTTTACAGAGTCTTGTCAGACCCATAAAGGAGCTAACCGGAATCAATGTCGAGTGTAGATGATTCATTAAATCATCAGTAGAAAGCAGTTGTGAGGACCAGCCGGTCTGCTGGTGGGCAGTGCAAAAGCTTTCTTATGTTTTACATTCGTTCAATTTGCCAATTTTTTGTTGCTTCAGCAGGTTACTCATGGTGCTATTCAGTTCACAGCATACGAGGAGCTTCGGAAAGTTGTTGTTGGCTTTAGATCTAAAGAAAGCGAAGAGGAGTTGAGTGCTGCTGAACTGCTGGTAAGTCTTATATGGTAATGCTTACGAGTTTTAAAACAAATTCTCTGTATGAATTTGTGCTCATTCCAACATTTTTTTTATTATTATGTCCATTTGTGTATAGCATGACATAGAAATCTATTTATCAAAAAAAATAGCATGACATAGAAATCTGGTGGCTGCTTCAAAGGAGCTCTTTTGTCCTCAATAAACGAAGGAAGCTGATTGTTTTCTTCACTAACTTTATCCTCAATAAGATTAAGGTTTATGGATGGTTGATAATTTTGTTTTATATTGAAAGAGAGTTTCTCGAATATCTTGACAGCAGGATGAAATTAAGGGTTTTGTGCTACAATGAAGGGGTGATGTGTAGGAATTTGGGATGAGACATTCAGGTTTTGGGGATAGAATATGTATTGATCAGTGGTTGGGTTTGGAAATCAGAGATCGAATCTAGAAAAAGATTAAAGAAAGAAGGAGAAGGTACAAACATATACGAGGCCTTTTAGGACTTCTATAAAGAAGAAATAGAACAAATAATAAACCATTATATCACAAATGTCAAAAGCATTTAGGTTCAGCAATGAATAAATCATCCATAAAACTAAAAAACAAAAAAACCTATTGTTTTGTTTAAGCAATAATTTGGTATTAATATATACCAAAAGGCTGCACCAAAAATTCTACGTAATCCATGTAAGAGTTGTTTTTTTTTCGTTTGGATAAATATAAGAGTTGTTGTATGATGTATGTTAACTTTCTTCATTGTTTTTTTGGGTTGGGGTGGGGGTGTAGAAGCTGCTACAGATTTAGTAGTGAATATATGTTGCAAGGTTTTGAAAAACGGTTGCGATGGCGGGGTGTAAAGGCCATAGCGTAACAATTGTAGTAACCGGAACCGTGATTTTTTAAAATTTTTTGCACAATTTGAAAAAAACTTATCGATACGCATATTTTCTTTTCAGAATCACATTTATTGAGGTTTTAAATTGATTTTGATCAATTTTTGTTAGTTTTTAAATATGATCCAATATATTTTATATTTTTAAATCACTGTAAAAGGTTTTTACATTTTATTTCAATAGTTAATGACTTTAAGAATAATTGATTTTAAATGTCTACAAATTATTTTTGACAAATACTTGAACTAATTGAATAAAAAATATTCACAATTATTAAATGAAATGATTATAAAAATAAAAGTTGTGCCATTTTAGACTACACTTTGTAGTTAACTAAATAAAATTATTTACAATTAAGTATTAAATGAAATGATTATAAAAATAAAAATTGCGCTATAAATAAAAATTATTTTTAAGCTACTGATTTTAGTTATTTTTAAAGATATATTTTAGACAACACATTACAGTAACAAAATTAAAAATATTTACAATTAAATATTAAATAAAATGATTATAAAAATAAATACCACCACTGTTTATATTTTTTTATTTTACATAATAATTTAATGAAATAAAAATTTAAAAATAAATTATAAAGAAAAAAAATTCATATAAAATTTTTTCTTTGAGTTTAGATCACTTGAGTATTTGTTTTTTTGTATTTTTTATTTTTATAAGTTTTTGTTTTTTTTTTGTTTTGGAAAGAGAGTTATTCAGAATATTATAAAAGTATGTACCGGTTTGTAACGGACTGTTACAACTATTACAGTACCGTTGCAGCTGTTATGTAATACCGAAACGGCCATTACACATGTAAATTTTCATCACACCGCTATAGCGGTTGTAACGGATGGCGGTAACTACTACAACCGTTACGTAATAACATTACATAACGGTTGTAGCCACTTTTTAAAACCTTGAGATGTTGTATTCCTCCTCCAGTATGAGAAAGACATGATTTCCTTGGATTACTGAGGTTATAGCTTTGTAAAGGCTGACAGGAGCAGATGAATCGTTGTACAACGAATCCCAAAGAAGCATGTTAGTAGTTTTATTTTCATAGATGAGTATAGGAAGCATTAAAAATTAAATACGCACCTTCAAAAAGCAAAGCTGGTGGAAAAAATTGGAGAATGATGTCAGAAGCTGAGAAAGCTCTTTTTGTGGAGTTGATGCTTTATGAAAGCATTTTATTGTTGAGAGTCGATGTTTCTTTTGATTGTATTGGGGTCTTATTTTTGTTTTTCTTTTTTAATTTTTCTGATTGTATATGAGTTGTGGCCCCCTCAGCCAGTTCTCAATTTACTTTGTCATTGTTCAAAAAAAAAAAAGTATTTTTGCATTTGGCTGAGGAAGGAATTTGGTAGACCTGGTCCATGAATATTAAGGATCCAAGAATAGGTTTCTGGAAAACTATTATTGCTGTAAGAACAATTCAAAGGAAAAGGCTCTTGCCTAGTGTTTTAAAAAGCGCGCCTAAGCGCGAGGCACAACAAGGCACAGGCTTGCGCTTCAAACAGGTCGAGGCGAGGTGCAATACTCAAGGCACAACTTAGGCACTGAGGTGAGGGATTTTTTTCGAGGCACGGGCTTAATGGGCTTTACCTATTTTTCTACTCCAACTGTTGATTAAGTGCCTTTTTTGTGGGTATACCCACAGCCACAGGGAATCAAAACTCTTCAATATAAAATGACCAAACGTGATCGAAAGAGAGCAGAAAGTGATTAAAAAAACCCTAGGTGGAGAAAATTAAAAAAAGCGATCAGAAAGTGAGAAGTTGACACTGCTTCGGCTTCTTCTTCAGGTTCTTCTCTTCTTCTTCGGTGGTTCTCTTTCTCTTCTTTTCTTCAATGGATTCTCTTGGTTGGGTTATCTCTCTACCTCTATTTTATCTTCCTTAATTTTTCTTCTCTTCTTCGATGAGTTCTCTTCATGGGTATGCCTCTGTTTTTTCTTTCTTTATTTTTTTTCTTTTTTTCTTATTTTCTTCTCTTTTTTTATGGGTTACTCTTTAAAAGTTTGCCTCTGTTTTTTCTTTATTTATTTTTCTTCTTTTCTTCTCATGTTTTTTTCCTGGGTTATCTCTCTGTTATGCTTGTGAAGCTTGATTTATGATTTTTGGAATTCATATATATTTGAAAAAGTTTGCCTATTTTATAATTTTGTTTTTCTTTTACTACTTACGCCTTGCTTTGGTGAGGCGCGCCTCACAGTTAGGCTATAGGAGACCTTATCACCTCCGTGCACTTAGAGCCTTTTAAAACACTGCTCTTGCCCCGTATTAGGTATCAGATCTTCCAGTAACAATTTTGGTCTGCTTGTTTAAATACGTTGACCTTCCATTTCATTTGCTCATGCAAAGACTTTCCATTTGCTTATGAGTGTAGGGCCCTCTTCTGGTTCCTTGCTTAGTGATATTTACAAGTGTATTCTGTATCTCTATCTTGAATGACTATACCTTCTAATTATTTATTGCATTTCACAGAATACCATTGACTATGCTACACTGGGGGCATCTTCTAAACTAACTGCTATTCTTCTGACTTACCCGTTTCAGGTGGGCATTTTTATTTGTATAAAGGATTCATTATCTGTTTGTTGTTCATTGCTTTTTATTCTGTTGGGTGATTTCAATATTTTTTTTTTCTAGGTTATTCGATCTCGTTTACAGGTATGAAAATAATTCTGAAGTTGCTTTGGTGCTTTATGTACACATTGTTGAATTTCCTCAAGTTGACAGATACCAAGCTGCTAATGCTGGTGGATTCAGACAACTGAATACCCTGCAACAACTATTGAAGTTGTTTGCTGATGCATAGCTTGTTGATTAACATTTTCCCCCAGCTTCCCTGTAGCTAAAATTTTGTATATGCTTCCTTAACTGCAGCAACGACCGAGTAAAGATGGAATTCCAATATACATGGATAGTTGGCATGTCGTAAAGGAAACTGCAAGGTGATCAGTGTTATATACTGTCCCTGGCCCGCCTGGATAGTATAGACTCTTAAATTGGACCTTTGGCAGGACCCGTTTTCAATTTGGGTAACTTGGGGGATAACACTTAGAAAACCCAAAAACCTGGCCATGATGTATGTTAACCCTTTGAACTGCCCAGGTGCTTGGGAACCTGAAGACTTAGTTGCTTTCTTGAAAGGATAAAATTCTTATACTGGTGATGCACTTGAGTTTGAGAACAGGGTATTCAGAATAAAATGCAACTAGCTTTCAGCAGTCAATCAGCCTAACAGCTAAATATAGACCGTCTCTGAAAGCAAAAATGTTTATATGCAAAAAAAGTGCTTTTTCTGATTCAATGTAACTTTTGATTTTCCACATACAGATTGTAAAATTGTTAGAATTAGTCTTGTGTAGAATTATTAAAGAATTGCTCTTGTAAGCATTTTGCACACCTTTTAACAGTCATTGTATTTTTTCTTCTTTTTCTTCTGGTATAACTTATTTATAAGTTGTGAATTCTGTGAGAGATTTACGGTTTTCAAGTCTCAACATCACACGTGTTTTCATTAGTATGGAGGGATAAACTGACTTTTCTGTTTGAGTAATGCTGGGATACCAAATTTTCTACTAAACAAATGACCAAATGTTTCACATGAAATTTTCTACCAAGCAAATGACCAAATGTCTCACGAGTTACACTCATGTGAGACATTTGGTCATTTATTTGGTACAAAAAATTTGGGGCCTGGAGCGTTTCCTTTCTGTTTTGGGAATGGAGATGTTCACTAGTTTGCTGACTTACACATACTTTGTCATAAACCTGTATGTTATTTGTGTCAATCTAATTGTATTTCTTTTTGGGCTTTGCAGGTTTGAGGGTTTGCGGGGTTTCTACAAGGGCATCACTGCAAATATGCTGAAAAATATCCCTGCAGCTTCAATAACATTTATTGTGTACGAGAACGTCCTCAACATGCTAAAATTTACAAGAAGGAATGATTGAGATTTTTTATTCTTGTCTTTTGCATTAAAATTCTTTTGGAAGTGACTGTCAAATTTAGATTATGAATGTAAAATGAAAAATGGACATGAATGACGCGTATAAAAAAGTTTTAACTGCATAATGTAAAGCACATTCATTCATAGCCTACTTTGTTCAACTAGATGGTGGTGCTAGCTGTGCCTTCATCTTCATTGCCTGAATGACAATCTTTGAACGTTTTCTTTTGTCCGGATTTGTTTATTTGATGATATTCTCGTTTTCTCCAGACTATGATGCTCATGTTTCCCTTTTATGCCTATTGCACTCTCTGTGCATACCTATAGCATCATGTTCTTTGAGAGAAAAAAATTAAAAAAAAAAAAGAAAGGATGTAAATTGGTGAATATGATATTGACTTTCTAGGAATGCACATTTTGAAAGGCCAATACAGTCTTCAACCTCACATTTCATGATCCCCAACCGCTGTATGACCTAAAATGATTCTAAACGGGACTGATTGGTTAAGTTTTTGAAGGGACTGCTTGAAGGTGGCTCAAAATGTGCTCAAGCTGGTGTGTCTTGTACTCTGAAGAAGTCTTGAGAGAGAGCACTTAAGCCTGCTTGTGCAGGCTCATGGGTGCTCAAGAGGGTGGCATTTTTTATGCTCATAAAAGTCTTGAGTGGCACACAGTCAGAGCGCACCTGATAGACGCTCAAAAGGGCTAGGGCTAGTGGGTTTTGGAGCTTGACCTAGTTTTGGGGAAACTGAAAAGTTTTGAAGCCACACAAACATTCATTGAGCATTCCTTGCCTTTCTAGAGCCTCTGAAGATCTAGGGAAGGTAATCTGTCTTGTGTGTTTTGATAAGAATCACATACACTCATCAATTTTTATCAAGCCGATTGTGATTAGAGCTACATGAGTAAGTATACAAGTACAAATCTAGATAAGAGAATTGACAAAAGATGTCCAAGTCACTCAGAAGTCAAGTTTGAGTTTAAAAGTACAAACATGAAAGGCTAAACACATGTAAGGATTGGATTTGTAAGGTGCCATTATTTTAGCCTTGGGAATTATTGAATTATTATGATATTGTGTGGATGACATATGATTAAAATTAATTAATCTATTGGAGTCTGCTTTAGAACCCTACATCTGAATCATACAAAGTTACATATCACTCAAATATGATTCATGATAATAATAACAAATGATTGAAGTTAGATGCGATGATCATAGATCAGAGGCACAATTTATGATAGAGAAACAGAATTATGTATTGGCATTGAGTTTAGGTCAAAAGCATCTCTTACAATGAGTGGACCACAAAGAAGTAACTTTTGCTCTTCATTTACAAATACCAGGACCAGCCAATTTACACCATAATACATAAATTAAATCCTTCACCCTAGCCCTTGGTTTTTCAGAATCTTTTTGTTTAAACCCTTTTTTTCTTTCTTTATTTCAGAATTTCAGTTAAAAAAGAAGACGAGGCAGCCTCTAAGCTACTTGAGCATATAACCCAAAAGGGGAAGATGCTCTGTTATTACACTTTATCATCATGGAACCACCACCTGGTCTCCTTCGGAGATCTGCCATTTCTACAATTCTTTACATAGCGATCATTATCTTCTGGGCGTTGCTGCACTCAAAGGTAAAAAACAATTAGATTAAAGCCTCAAATAGTTTTTAGTTGGAGAAAATTTAAAGAAAGCACACTCAAGGAATATACCATCAATGCACAATTTTATGGACCACTTGGTTATCAGGGGATGCTTGTTATTAACCAAAACAAAGATATTTAAAAGTTAAAAAAATAAAAATATCTCAGTTTATGCTGCAGTGAATAATGAGCATGGAGAGAATGAATGGGTCACGACATCAAAGACGTTAATTTAAAATGGAATCAGACCTTAGTCGTGGAACTTGATAGCATGGAGAGAATGCTGATACAGATAGAACTAACAGTCATAGCTGGGGACCACGAATCATACAAGATATCTACAAAACAAAAATAAGCCGGTATACATGTAGTTTCAGTTGGTCAGATGATACAGATGCAAAATACTGCATAAAAAATAAAAAAAGGGGCCAGCAATCCATATGATTATGGTCATTAATACAAGTTTTAAGAATTAAACAAACTTTATTCTTAATTTAAATTTTTTAGCATTATCAAGGTCAATGATCATGTTACAGAACAATTGGAGAAATTTCCCCCCAACCCCCTCTTCAAGAAAAAGAAAAGGTATCCTTGGTTCTGCCTTATCTTAGTGGAAAAAAAAAGAAGCAATGGTAATGGTGAGCCACAATGAATCTGCCCAATTATTCTTCCAAATGATAGTTAAAAATCCAGAATCATCATTAAACAATCCTTTTCAACAGGTCATTTAAAAATCAGGATACAAAAGTTCCATATTTTTCTTATAGCAAAACCAAAGATGAGAATCTGGGGGTATACACTCTAGAAGCTTATGCACCTCATACAGGCAGAACAGAAGTCAAAAGTTATGAATTGTGCAAACAATAAAAAAATAAATGCAATGATTAATCCAGTTCATTCCATATCAGCCAAAACATATTATGTTTAAAATAGAAGAAAAATAGCATGAATTCCCACCATTCAAAACTCCACATGACACTATGGATCTAGTCAGTTGGAGGTTGCAATACTACAATCAAAGGTAAACCTGAATGAACACAAACCAAGACCGAAATATGCAAAATCAAAAGTCAACCAATCTGTGAGACTCAAAAGTCAACCAATCTGTGAGAAGTAAAGAAATGAATACTGCAATATAAAATCTGAAATTGCTGGAATCCATAGAACACCACCGTTAGAAAAAGAGAGTGCAACCCTACACAGACTACCTGCTTCATAGTTCATGAGAAGGTCTTTAGGAACAAAAAAAGTTAAAAACAAATGACCAAACATCATGCAACCACTCAATGATTAGCGAATAACAAGTGGCTTGCCCGTGCTACCACCTCAAAGATGATTAGGTGAAGAATTGACAAGTGGCTTATAAGTAGTACCTTGAAAAGAGGCCACCTTTAAGTTAATTACAGTTGCAAACAAAATTCATAAAAAACTACAGGGCCCAAATCTACCAAAAATACAAAACCATAAAACTAAATTAAGAGAAAATAATTCCGAGGACTCTATTTTAAGCTATCTCATATGATAATTTCAGCTTGAAATTTCTAGGAATGAAAACGAATATATGTTGGTTGAACTTTCCAGCACATCAGTTTTTACTCCACTACCTAATTAAGCCAACATTAGCACAATAATGCCTTTTGAAATTATTCAACTGCACATTCCAAATAAAAAATTCAGTCTATAGAGCTGAATGTACAGTCATAATGCCAGAAAACCAACAAGGTTTCACATTCCAGGTACGTCACAGGCTGTGGCAAATTTTTTTAAACATGTCTAGGAAAGGTTACCTGCAAACTCACCTATTTGATTTGGAACTGCCAATGCAAATATCAATTTTCATTGACGAGCCATTTTTTTAATTTTTATTTTTCTATGCAGCAATACAAAAGACTTATCGTCATATGAAAGATATAGCATAGATATTCAGTAGTAAAAAAGGCAGGCATGAAGCAAGCATTACAATTTGTCTTCAAAGTGCAGCCACACAAATAAGCCTGAAATTCGTCATTTTTTGAAAAGATAACACAGATATAAATACCAACAGCCATCGTATAGAAAGTACTAAGCCATCTATCTCAGGAAATATTGTTACATATACAATTATGTATGCATTTTGAAAGTAAGGTCACCTGGTTGTTATGAATCTTGATAAAGAACTTAAAGTAAAAAAAATGCACCAGACCAGTTGTTATATTCAAAAGTCATTATAGTCACATGTGCAGCAATGCCATGCATAGTTGAAAATAACATCTTCCTTACATACTTAGTAAATTGTCAAAACATTTACCCCCATACAGAAGGCATAATTAGATCAAGTAGCAAATTGAAATTACTTAATTTGTGAAGATGACAGGTTAAATTGAAAAGATAACACAGATATAAATACAAACAGCCATCGTATAGAAAGTACTAAGCCATCTATCTCAGGAAATATTGTTACATATACAATTATGTATGCATTTTGAAAGAAAGGTCACCTGGTTGTTATGAATCTTGATAAAGAACTTAAAGTAAAATAAATGCACCAGACCAGTTGTTATATTCAAAAGTCATTATAGTCACATGTGCAGCAATGCCATGCATAGTTGAAAATAACATCTTCCTTACATACTTAGTAAATTGTCAAAACATTTACCCCCATACAGAAGGCATAATTAGATCAAGTGGCAAATTGAAATTACTTAATTTGTGAAGATGACAGGTTAAATTAAACCCTCTTCAGATACTAAAAAAAGCAAGCAAGCAAAAAAATCTATGAAGAAACACCTTATCGAGATTACCTAAACAAATGTGACCATTGCTATAGATGTGAGGGTGCAGAGGCGCTGGTTGCAGAAATATAACCTGTGTAGCAAACCAGAACAAGACATCATTATTACCATCACAATAAATACATAAATTTAAAAGAAAGCAAAAAACAAACATCCGATGACACCAGCCCTACCTGTGGAGATTCCATGGGATAATGCTCGGGAAAATCAACCTGAAGCTGATACTTTTCATTAGCATAGAGAGTTCCCGGAGCTCCATTCACTTCAATTACCCACCTTTTCATAAAAAAAATTAAGGTCATCTAAATACATAAACACAAACAAACCTAAAAGCATAATAATAATTATGATAATTGCTGTGGATTTTCGTGGGAAGCAAACAGAGGGGAGTGAAATTAAGATGCTTGAAATAAGAAACCCTAAGAGAGAGAGAGAGAGAGACCTTTGGAGATTATCGGTGACCTTGTGATTGAATCCAACGGGGGGATTGACCTGCCATTCAACAAGCTCCTTCTGGAGACGATTTGAAGCAATCTTGCTTAGAGACTAAGCAAAGCAACACAATCACCAAAAAAGAAGAAGAAGAATTAGAATTGAAAACGATGGATGAACTGACAATAGAAACATATATAGACAACAAACCAACAAATACATACGAGAGAGAGAGAGAGAGAGAGAGAGAGAGAGAGAGATTCCACTATGATAAGAATAGAGAATACATGTGAGCTAACCAATGGTCATGGCTGGGTTGTAGAATCGAGAATAATGGCGGAGGGAGATAGACGGTTGGGGCGAAGGGAGGTGTCGTTTATTGACGATTTGACACGATCATACACTCAACTTTACGCAGAAATACTTCTTCATGTCCCCACTCTCTTTATCTCTCGGCCCACCACACCCCCTATCCATGCCTACTCCTTTGGCCAGAGTGGCATTGGATTAATTATTTGTGTGAGTGATGGAACTCATTTTTCACAATTTTTTCCTTCATTTCTCTCTTTAACTTTTTATTTATTGGGTCATTAGATTTACTTTTAAGTTTAATTTTGATAATTTAAATTATTCACATTTTAAGATTTTGTTAAATATATCATATTATAAAAAATTAAATTGATCAAATATCAGAAATTATGTATTCGGATTATCGAACTACAAACTATTTTTTAAAAAAATTTAATAAACAGTTTTCCAAATACATATTTTTTGATATCTGATCAACTTAATTTTTTACAGGTATGATATACTTAACAAATCTTAAATTATGAACAGTTCGGATCATCAAAATTAAACTCAAAAATAGACCCAATAACTTAGCAAATAAAGAGTTAAGGTGAGAAATTAAGGAGAAAATCTTGATTCCTACTCTTTTGGCCAAAGTGGCATTGGATTAATTATTTGTGAGAGTGGTGGAACTCATTTCTCAGGTTGGTTATTGGTAATTTGAGATTACAGTTGCCGCGTAGTATTTTATAATAATATGATTAGTGAAAAGGTAGAATATTAATTATTTATATTAGATGATTGAGAAATATAAAAAGTCACAATAAATAGTAATTGGTGAGCGAGTATGGTCACGTGGTACTCCAAAACTATTGTATAATTTTCCCTAATTTTTGCTTTCTTTCAAGGTAAATCATAACCTCTTTCTCAAGTAGAGATGTAAGAAAAATCAATAAAACCGAGCTGACTGATTGAAATTAACCAAAATTTTAGTTTTCGGTCTATTTTTTGTAACATAGATCTGTTTCGGTTTTGAAACTTTTTATATCGATGCAAACTGAATCAACCAAATATTATATTTAAATATTTTTATATTATAATTTCTTGAACATTATATGAGAAGTAACTAATATAATACACTTTTGTGATAAAACTTAGGGAGAAAAATATTTATAAAGCAATTTTCATATATTTTTTTCATTTATTTTTAATGTAAAATTCAATAATCTCCTATAAAACCTTTTAATATTTCATATAGAATTTTCTTTTATATCAAACCGACAAAATTGATAAAACCGAACCGTAACATATGGTCTGTATCGGTTTCTCAATCATAAAAAGCGAAAGGATCGATTTGGTGTTAAATATATTCTTAACACCAACTGAACCGAACCATTTACACCTCTACTCTCAAGTTTAGGAAAAATACAATAAGTTATATAATTATATTATTTTTTTAAAATAAAATTACGAGATTTAAATTTAATACAAATAGTCTAAAGATAAAAAAATATAAATTTCAATATAAAAAATATGATAATATTATTTTTCTATCCATATGACTAAAAAAAATTAATGAAAAGTAAATTAAGTATCATGTGAATTAAAACATTAGAACTTAAATTTTGTGTTAGTGATGGGAGGGGTCTTAGTTCTATGATTTTATTTTCATATTAGTAAAAATGAATCAATGATTAATTTTCCTAATGTATCCTTCTATATAATGTATTTAATAGCAAAAAGTAGGTGGAAATAGAGCAAAATGATTACATAAAATCAATTGGAGAGGTTAGAGGGCTTAATTGAATAAAAATTAGTTTGAAGACCTAACTGAAAAATATACCAGTCTAAGGGCTTTTTGACATAATTTACATATTTTTATGATTAATTTAGTGGAAAATGTACGCATTGTGTAGTAGAGCACGAGAAACAAAGAACGAGAAATGTCTATAAATTTTTTTTTATGTAATTCAAGTTAAGAGTGTTGAAAAAAAAAATAATAAAAAAAAAACACGTGAAAAGAAATATATGATTATGGGGGAATGACTTTTAATATTGCTAACTAAAATATATAAATTCATGAGAAGAAAAAAAACTAAAATAAATAAATTCATAGGGTAATATGGCCAATCAGTGGGATGGACAGATATGTAAGAGAAATTAAAATGGTGGGAAGGGAAGGCACATTATTATGCCGCAACTCCTGGATTTCTATATGTTAGAAGGATTTTTATTTTTATTTTTATTTTTTTTAGTAAATTACACTAATCTCAATTAAAATTTAGAAAAAATATATTAAACTCACAAATTGAACTTAATTACATCAAACTTCCATAACATTTAATTATCTTTTCATCAATAATTTGATAATTATATAGATGGAAAAATGATAATATCATCTCTTTTACATCAAAATATATATTTTTCTTTATTCACTTTATATACACACTTTCTATCATTTAGCCTTTATTAAAAGAAAAGAGACGTCAGTATAATCATGTCAAACTTGTGAAGTTTGTATTTTTTTCTCTAAATATTTGGGGTTGGTCAGTGTAATTTACCTTCTTCTTTTTTTAGTATCGAAGTCTTTGTGAAGTGAAGGAATGAAATTTTTTTTTTGGTGAAAGGGCAATTGGGGATGGAGATCATAAAATAATAATAATAATATTATTATTATTATTTCACCATCTGATTTTATACAAAAAGATTTCAAGGTTGGGATATTTTTAAAAAATGTTTTTAAGAAATGAAATTGATAACCCAACCCATCCCTTCCCTTATCCAAAACCTGGCTCTGAGAAAATCCTAATATTTGTATAAAATTTAATCTCAAATTCTTTAATTTAAAATTTATATTTATCCAAATAAACTCTTAATATTTAAACTTAATAATATCTCATTATTATTTATTATAAAAAAATTAATATTATTCTTAATTTATGTCTCCCTTCACTGAATTCCTACCTACGCTGCTCATGCTATGTAAATACTGCCCTCGTTTATAATTGCACTCCAGAGTTTATCATCTATTGCATTTAGGAAAAATGCTTGGGAGCACTAATTAGTGCTCCCACTAATTAGGTGGCAGTGGGTCCCGCCATTAATGATGTGATGTTTTGGTCTTGGAGTTGTGTTTTTTTTTTGTTTTTTTTTACTTTTTTAATGCATTAGTGCTATTAGTGGTGATGTTTTTAATGAGATGAATCATTGTTGATATATTTGTGGGATAAGAATCAGTCCCACTTTGCTATTCTCGCATCATAGAAGAATACTATGTCCAGCAAATGAGGATTAGCATATTCTACCCCTAATGGAAATCTCAGCAATTTACACAATTTGCAAAAGCGCCACGCTGTAAATTAACATTTGATGATTTTGTTTTGGAGATTGTCAGTCTCATACTTTTTAGTTAAATCGTCCACTCCTATAATTTTTATTTGGTCACAAATGCTAACTTAACGCAAGATAATTTTATCTCATATTAAAATATTATATACACACTTATGCCTGTGAATGAAATATGTGCTGCAATTTTTTGAATTAAATATTCCCACCATTTTCAATTCACTAGACCTAGGTAGAGAGATACCGTCCACATGTAATCTAAGCACATTTTTATTTTTGTTCCAATACCATGAACATGAACAAAGCATTGAAAAGCAGAAAAGCATCCTATTGTCGTAAGAGGAGGATATTCTTTTTCATTTGCTTCACCTTCCATTAAATGCTAGTTTACAATAGATTTGTTTGGGACGTAGGTTGACTTTTTGACTATTTTAACCTGGGAGAAAAAGTCTTGTTCGGGATAAATTTTTTGACTTTTTTAACTTTTGTGAGAGAAAAAATATAATGATTAAGGTTTGAATGTGACATTTTACCTTATTAACTTTTTAATTTTTAATTTTTTTTTTGGTAGCTATTTTAACCAAAAAATCCTTGACTTTTTCTTCTCAAACGAGCTCGATGTATGAACAAGCAAAATTAACTAAGACAGTTCAAGTCAATTTTTGCTACTTCTTTTTTGATATGTGACACTCTAAAAGTGTCTGACCCGCACACCCGGTCATCAAAAAAAATGTTTGCAGATTTGCATTATTGAACACTTCTTCTTCTTCTTTCTTTTTTTTTTCCACAATCGTTTTATCCACCATCCCCCTCAGTGACATGCAAATCAACAATCCTAAATGTATCTTTCAAATCTTTGGTAATGTTATTTCTCCACACCCTAAAAAAAAAAAAAAAAAAAAAAAAAAAACCTTCTTTAGAAATGTTATCTACATTCCATCAACCACCAATTGCCTTCACTACCACTTCATGGAATTTGATCTGTGTCCATCTTTTATTTTTTTGAAATATTCTCTTTATCCACCACCATCACAAGTTGGCTATGAGGTGCAAACGAACTAAATCGAACCGAACCGAACCGAACCGAACTTTAGTATATTTAAATTTATTTATTAAGATTTTAACGAATTCGAACTTTATTTCAATAAAAATTTAACAAACCGAACTCAAGCCGAGTTGACTTAGACTTGACTTGAGTTTAAGCCTGTTTAAGTCTTAACGAGCTAAAAAATTTATAAATTCATACTTGCGTATGAGACTAAAATTACAATTAAAACTTTGATTATACAATTATATATACAATATATAAAAACATTCTAAAAAAAAAGTTTATTTTATCAAAATAATAATCTACTACCACTATTATATAAATGTATTATTTATAGTTAACTATTATTTACATTTATATTTTTTAAATATATAAATAACATATTTATCTTATTTTTTATACATATTTTTATATTATTTAATATATAAATAATAAATATTAAATGAACCAACTAATAAGCCGAGCTTTAAAATGTTTGATCTGTTTATTAAAAATTTAATGAGCTCGAACGCAAAAAAAAACTAACAAACTAAGTTTGAACGAACTCTTACCGAGTCAAGTTTGAGTCTCTTCACGAACAATGCTGTTCATTTGCAACCTTACTTTTGAGCATGCGTGACCTTCGTCGTTTCACCCATTTAATACTGGACTTCTTTGATTTGCTGCTACTTTGCTTTGCAACCTTGCCTTAATGCATATATGTGCTGTCACCTTTTGACAATCCACAGAGCATGTCTGAATACTTGTATCAAAAAGTAATAAGAGAATTGTATCACACTAGCTAATGGGAAGAAAGGCAATACGCCCAAACGCCTCCAGGAGCCCCACGTCATTTGGGCTCCTTGTATTTAGGGATAGATTCCATCTAATAATGTGGCTCGTAGGGCCATTAAAACATTGTCCAAAGAGCATCAAATAAAAATAAATAAATAAATAAAAACTATATTTATCCTGTATAGAGCCCACACTCTACTAGGATGAATGTAACGCATCTTGTGAAAAATCCTAATAGGTGGTACTCCACAAAGGCCTCAATCTCATTAGTTCCTCGCAAGTGACCACCCTGAACCCGAAGCAAACCAAAAGTATACAAGTTCCATGAAGTTGAAAACCGGTAATTTGAGCAATGACTGCACATTGACACCAATAAATGAGCTTCAACTGAATTGAGAAGCTTGAACGAGCATCGTTCCGAGTCTGATTATTATAAAGAGGTCTCTAGTCTCTGATACAGTCCTCTCACAACAGCTTCAAGAATATCATTCCGGTAGCAGTTTCAAAACAAAGAAAGAATAAGGATACATTGGACATTCTGATAATCCAAGTTATTTATTAAAGCCTACCCCTAATGACCACAGAATGCAACGACACTGTTTTTTCTTTCACCATGAAGACTTCTCCGGATGCTCCCTGTGGGAATCCTCGTAGTTCAGCTGGCCCTACCTCAGTCACGCCATCTTGTAGCACACCCAATTGAAATATAACTTGCTACATTAAACTACTTGTTAAGAAGTAATAATGTGATCATTCAAAGTTAAAGAAGGTCCTCAAAACAACGTCCTTACCTCAAGTTTAAGCTGTGAGGGATTGGGGAAGAACTTTATATGGGTTGAGTATCCCATTGGGGTCCAGCAAATTCTTGATGGAAGCCATTAGGTTCACCTGTCGAAATGGAATCTTTATTTTAAAAAAATATTCATAAGCAAACACCCTCTCTAAAAATGGAAAAAGAAGGGTCAGATCATGGCAATCCTAAAGTGAAAACATTAAAATGCAACTGTAAATAAGGTTATTTTCCACCACCTTAATCAACTACTGCTATCCAAACATTCTTCAATTCCCTTGCTTTACTAAGTACCTTTAGACAGATTGCACTTGCTAGGTTAAAATGTTGAGAGACAAGTCCAAGAGTTTTATCTAGCCACGGTGTCAAAACTTAGAGAATTCATCAGCATACCCATACAGCAGGCACCAAACATATTTAATCAGTACATTAGTTAATGACCTCTTAACTCTCTTCATTCTTGGGCCTCTTTCATTGGATCCATATTACTTCTTCCCGGTCAATGGTCTTTGTAGCACATGGTCAAGAAATTTAAACCTAATGTCACTTATTGTCCCCATTTAGTGCTACCTTCCTCATCATGTGACTTCAACTTCTTACTAATTCTATTATTATTGTCATTTCACCCATTCCTGCACATTATTTTTTAGTATAACCCACTATTATCACTACCATAAAATAAGGATGGTACCCTACACATTTTTCTTTAGGCCTTCACATAGCATCTTTGGTATTTCTTAATATAAGCACGTATGTATAAATCAAACATAAAAATGTCCAATCATATTGAACAACTTCAGTAATTTAAAAGCACATTATTTATATACCCATAAACATTTTCTTGAACTTAGAAACATTGCTTCAATTCAATGTGTATAAAAGAAAATTGATGAAAGTTTATATCCTCTTGATCCATTATAGAGCCTGTAGAAATTTAATGTATAAAGAGAAATAGAGAGAATTAATTATGTATAGAGAAATAGAGAGAGAATTGTATTATTGATTGATATATATTGATTTCTATTACAATGATTCATGATTCCTATATATAAAAGAGGGTGAGTGTGTAGTAGGTAAGGAGTAGGTGAAGTGGAGGTGGTAGTGGTGTAGTGGGTTAGGTTAGAAACATTGCTTCAATTCAATGTGTATAAAAGAAAATTGATGAAAGTTTATATCCTCTTGATCCATTATAGAGCCCACTTTAATTTATTTTTTATTTTGGAAAATATTTTTGCCTACATATTATATCCTTGAGGTGAATGAAAAGATCACAAACCTCTGTTCAACCAAAAAGCAAAAAAGATGACAAAACTTTTAGCAGACATGGCTATTATTGTATTCTTTTTCAGACACGGAAAACTGATTGTTCAGAAGTCATAAGAATCTGTTTATTCTTCTATATTTGACATAACAAGAAGTTGCAGGGTGGAATAAATTAAGACGTTCACTATTTACTTCTGACATTTTCTGATATAGCCCCAAAAGGAGATGAAAGTGATATCAGAAATGGACAATAATGTTATGTGGCATAAGAAAATCAAGTCTCATAGGTAGAAGTTTCATCTTTTAAGTGCCTTCAGAAGCTAGAAAACTTAACCTCCCATGAAGGATGATATGCTATAGCATTATCTTTAGAATACTCACACTTTCAGGAGATTTGCTGTAGTGAATCTTATTAGCTTTCATTAGTCCCAAGCCATGCTCAGCACTGATACTCCCACGGTGCTTAGATGTCCATTCATAAACAAAAGGTTCAATTTGGGCTAAAACCTGAAACATTTTCATATCTATTAGGATCCAAAAAAACTCAGAATACATAATCAGTTCTTTGAATAAATCGGGAACATCGAAATTACGGTATCATCATACTCTGGAAGTGATATATTAAGATGCAAGTTACCATCTCCGAGGTGTCCATATCCCACTACTTTGACTGCAGGACCTAGAAATTTTCAATTAAAGGTTAATGGGATAAACATGATTGTTTATCTTCTAGACAACCAAAGATCAAATGTAGAAGCAGTCTTTTATGACAAGTAGAGGCAATTATTTTTTTGTTTTAACATCATCCATTCTTCCCTTGGTCAATGCCATACCAACAACACCCCCTGGTGCAAATTCCAATCTCATTCCAATTATCCCATGTAGAAAATGTCAAACCACAGCACCAAGATGGGAACACAAAGCAAAATGTTGTTAGTAGCAAAGATAATTAGGTTACCAAGACGTATTCGCATTTCCTCAACGAGATCGTACATCTTTTCAACAGGAAGTGACAAATCATATTTGTACACAGCCCCTGCTTTCATTATTGCTTCTGGTACACCCTGTGACAAAATAAAATTCAATGAGGGACATTCTAAGATCATAATTTAAAGCATGATTGAGGTCTTCAATTCTAAAATGATATTTAAATCATGACAAATGGATTCGATTTTTCTTCACTTACCTCCCAATTAAAATTACATTCAATTAATTGTGTGTAAGACAAAGTAAAATCTAGCAAATGGACAGTGAGAACAACTACTCTATTGTTAATACACAGCATAGAAGTTCAGTTTTTTTTTGCTGCTCCGTGTCTAGATCCATGACACACATGTCGAGTCATTTTGTTTTGGAAAGATATTTCAAAACCTCATTAGATTGACAGATTAAGAAGAAGAAAGTTGCGGGTCTATCATGTATCATTCAAAATGACTCAAGTATACTTCTCCCCTAAATGTAGGTATCAATATCATAGGTAATGCAGAGAGACGATTTAAATAATCACTATCCTTGTCCTAATTGCATAAATTCTAGAAAAGAGAAAGTCACTATCATTGTCTATCATTGTGAGTTCACACTGCAGTATGAAGAACCAGTGTGAAGTTTGGTTCACTTATAAAAACTGCTATTTTATTTTTAATTTATTCATGCCCCAAAAACAATTGTTATATGAATACTTAAACTCTAATCATCAAGTTATGACACGCCCTAGAAGTGTGAGAGCAGATGAGACCACTGTGAGAATAATATTAGTATAGTATATATTATTATGCGAATATTTTAGATTGTGTTAGGTTGTGTGAATATTTTGATTTAGGTTTATTCTTGTTTCCTATTTAGGATTAGGCCTATAATTAGATTAGGTCTAGAATTGCTATATATATCAGATGTACACATTATATTGATACACAATTGAATAAACAGAAATCATTCAAAAATCTTACATGGTATCGGAGCTATGTTCAAAACCCTAGTAGCCATTGTCAATTCTTGTCTGGTTCAGCTTTCTAGATTCGTGCGACCAATCTGAGTTTGAATCACAATCCATCGATTGTGGTTCTCTTGTTTGTCTAGTTCGAAATTGGGTTTGGCTTGTTTGGTCATCTGTTTGAGTCGACTCATCTGGTCATCTGAGTCAACCCATTTGTTTGAGTCGACACAATTGTTTCGATCAACCCGTCTGTTTCGTTCGATCGACCCATCTAGTTATCTGATTTGCGACGCTGATTTGTAGGTGGTCTTTACTGCACCATAACCCTCTCTTGTTCGTGGATTATAAGTCGTGGATCACGACTGTGTGTGGGGGCTTCGTCTAGTTTGTCAGGTCCTGCGAGGGGTGTTTCTCTCTCTTGCTTTGATTCACTATCTTCTCTCTCGCTCAGCTTCACATCGCGAAGATCGTCTCTCTGAACTGGGTTTGGATCTTTGACCCATATGAGTTCATTACAATGACGGATGATAAGATGGCTAGGCCCAAAAATAGGCTATTGGCTTCAGATGAGTGTGCTTGCTACCATTAGAGAAGCCATTGGAAATATCACTGTCCCAAGAAGGGACGTCTGCCTTCCTCGTCTTCTCAACAGTCTCAGACTCAGTTTCATGCTCCTCCTTAGAGTACTCTTCGGCCTCCCACCACTTATACTGCTCCTGTTTTGGCTCTTGATCTCGACTTGGCTTCCTTGAGTGTTCAAATTGGTCAACTTCAGCATATACTGTCTAACTCCCAGCCATTCTTGTCTGCCTCCGTTGTCTCCTTTCTTCACTCAGGTTTGCTTGGGTCTTCTTCAGGTATCTCTTTGTCTGTCTGGCTTTTTGACTTTGGTGCTTCTCATTATGACTCCTCATCTCTCCTTACTTCTAAATTGTACTCCCCTTCCTTTTGTTATTACTGTTAATGCTGCTAATGGGTCTGGTATGTCTGGTATATCTGTTGGGTCTATCCTACCGTCTGCTATGTCTGTTGTCTCTATTATATCTGTCTTATAAGTTCCTTAGTTATCTATCAGTTTATTATCTATTAGTCAATTTGATGCCTCTTGTTTTGATGTTATCTTTTCTTCTTCTATCTGTTCTATGCAGGATCGGATGTCCAAGCAACAGATTGGGACTGATTGTAGAGTTGGATGTCCAAACAGCAAATTAGGACTGACCGTAGAGTTGGTGACCTTTAGTCAACTTGATGCCTCTTGGGTTTATCTTAAGACTCATAAGTCTAATTTCTACCAGATATACCATACTTTTCAGTCTACAGTCACTACACAGTTTAGGTCTACTATTAAATTGTTACGGTCTGACTTGGGTGGAGAATATTTTAAAACTGAGTTCTGTGAGTATTTGGCCAATTTGGGTACCATCCACCAAACTTCCTGTACTGATACATCTACCCAAAATGGTCGAGCTGAGCGTAAACACTGTCATCTTCTTGAAATAGATGTCTCTCATTCTCTCTGCCTCTGTTCTGGTTCCATTTTGGGGTAAGACAGTTCTTACTGCTGCTTTTCTTCTCAACCGTATGCCTACTCCCCTTCTCTCTGGTCAATCTCCTTATGAGGCTCTATTTTCTCAACTTCCCAATTACACCCTTCTTCGTGTGTTTGGGTCTGCTTGTTTTGTCTTTTTACCCCGTAAAGATAAAACCAAACTTAGTGCCTTGTGTGTCTTTTTGGGTTATAGTCTCACTCAGAAAGGTTAACGCTGTTATGATCCTATTTCTTGTCACCTTTATGTCTCCCGCCATGTTGCCTTTCTCGAACGTCTACCTTACTTTCAGCTTCCTTCTCTCACAGCCCCAGTTTCCAAAGAAGATTTGGTTCATCTTGATCCATTTCTTTCTGAGATCCCTCTTGATGAGTACATCTCTACTGTTCCCCATGAGCTTGTTCCCTCTTCTCCTCGTGTACTCTTGATGATTCCCTCTCTACTGAACCCCATGAGTCTGTTCTCTCTTCTCCTCCTCCGTTGTTAGTCTATTCTTGTCCCAAGGCTCTCCTCCACTAGTTGTCTTTGCCCCTGCTGCTGATCTTTCTACTTCTAGCGACTCTGATCTTGTTAATCGTAAGTATCCCCTTTGTATCCGTAATCATGTCAAAAAATTTGATTTTGCTAGAACATACTTTTCTCCTTCATATTGTACATTTTTGTCTGTTATTCACTTTTTTTTCAGAACTTCAGTCTTACAAAGAGGTTTGTCAGAATCCTCATTGGATTCAAGCTATGGAGGATGAGTTGTCTGCTCTATAGAAAACAAGTACTTGGGAGTTGGTTCCTTGGCCTGCTAGTAAAAATCTGGTTGGTTGCAAATGGATCTACAAAGTCAACACTCATTCTGATGGTTCTCTTGAGCGCTACAAAGCTCGTTTGATTGCCAAAGATTTCTCCCTAGTATTGATTATGAGAAGACCTTTGCTTCTGTTGCCAAGATGACTATTGTCCGTACTTTGATCTCTGTCGTTGCTATTCGTTCTTGGCCTCTTTATCAGATAGATGTTAAGAATGCTTTTCTTAATAGCCATCTCATTGAGGAGATTTACATACGTCCTCCCCCTGGCCTTTTAAATTCCTTTGGACAGGTTTGTCGTCTTCGGCGTGCTCTGTATGGTCTGAAGTAGTCTACTCGTGCTTGGTATGATCGCTTTCAGACTGGTGTTACCGAGCTTGGGTCTCTTCCTTCTGCTTTGGACTATGCTTTGTTTCTGAGACATACCTCAGCTAGTTTTGTTGCTCTCTTACTATATGTGGATGATATGATCATCACTAACTCTGACTCTTTTGCTATTTCTTCGGTCAAGCAACATCTCTTCTGCATCTTTGAAATGAAGGATCTGGGTCCATTGCGGTATTTTCTTGGTATTGAGGTAACTTCTTCTCCTAAAGGCTACTTTCTGTCTCAAGCTAAATATGCAAATGAGGTTATTCACCATGCTGGTCTTCCTGACACTGAGATTTTTGATACCCCCATTGAGCTTAATGTGAAACTTAACACTACCGATGGTGTTCCTCTGGATGATCCTACTTTATATCGAGAGCTTGTGGGTTGTTCATGTGGTTAGCCAGTTCGTTGAGTTTCTCACACCACTGCTCGATTTCAATTCTTCTCGGCAAACTCTCAATATTTTCTGCCCAAATACCTTCAGTTTGAGCCGGGGTGTGAGAACAATATTAGTATAGTATATATTATTATGTGAATATTTTAGATTGTGTTAGGTTGTGTGAATATTTTGGTTTAGGTTTATTCTTATTTCCTATTTAGGATTAGGCTTAGAATTAGGATTAGGTCTAGAATTGCTATATATATCAGATGTGCACATTGTATTGATATACAATTGAATATACAAAAATCATTCAGAAATCTTACAACCACAACATGGAGAATAAGTCTTGCATGAATACTTTAATACTAACTATCAAGTCATGACTCTTAAGATATGTTCAACAAGAGGTGAGAGAGAAGCTGTAGCAGATTAGAGCACAACATGGAGAAGGAGAAGTCAATTTTACATGAATGCTTGCCAAATTATGACTCTAAGGTATATCCAGCGAGAGGTGAGAGAGAAGTTACAGCAGATGAGAGCACAATATATAGTGAAAGCCATTTACATGAATATTAAAATTCTAATAATCAAGTTATGAATGTCCAACATACCGTACTCTCCCAATAGTTAAAGAAAGACTTGTCAATACAAAGAAACATGTAAAGTAGAAGAACCTCACGAATACGCCAAAAGGATAATGCTTGATTTATGTCTTGGGCTAGAACACCATCAGATATCAAACCACCTTCCATTGAACGAAGTAGGAAGGCCTCAAGCTTCTCTCTGGAGGAATGACAATGAATTTTAGAATCCAAAAAACATCAACACATCAGCCATGGTAAAGTGATACAATAAGGCAATGCATTCTGTAAAATAACAGGAAACACAAGCTACTCAGACGAAGTGTCATGGGCAAAGTTGAACTTGGACATCACAAAATAATGATATGCTATTTCAGCTGACAAAATTGCTAATCAAAGACCATAACAAAGCTTCAATCAGGCATAAGGATAACAAAGGTTGAAAATTCTTCTTTAATTTATTGGTCATCCGATGCCTTTACAATCCCTATCACTCGGTCTTCTCTATTTCTTTATTTTATGACTTGAATCTTATGAAGAAAGGGGCATGCAAGAAACTTTTCTTTAATTGAGGACCAAGGAGCCAATGTTGACTAGACCAAAATTCTTCAAAAAAATTAAGATGACAAAATAGAGTTTTCTAAAAAAGAAAAAGAAAAATAGAAAGGGAGCTAATTTGAGCAGATAAACAATGTATTATCAGCAAATAGCTTACCTGTCATAAGATTCATCACTGCCTGTTGTCTCAATCAAAACATAAAAGTTGTGCATCGAGGAAGGTAATGGATTCCGAACACCTTCTAAATGATCAAGAACCTATTCCACACAATAGAAGAGGTAATGCTTGACAAACGGTGCAACAGCACATTGCAAACTTTTTCTTTAAGCAAAGTAATACCATTTTCAGGACAGTCTCCAATCATACTAGGCTGGAGAATAAAATTGGACGGCAAAGAACAGTTAGGCTTACATAGAAGGGGGCCCTTGTTTTTCCAATAAATCAAGGGACTTCCTTAAAATCTAGTTATAAATGAGGAGGCATAATGTTTGCTACAGTGTGAAGCCTAAGATTAGAACAATTTTGTTTCACTGAAAATTTTGCATAGCTTACTCGAACCAAATAAAGACAACTTTAAATGTAAACCTTTCACATCTAAAAAACATAAGAAAAAAATCATCATAAGAGTCGCACCGGCCTTACTTGAAAATAGCAGAGCCGCAAAGTTTTTACACAAAGTAAGATTCCCAAAATAAATTTAAGATAACCAATTACTTCTTGTTTTTTTTTATGCCCTTGGTCCAAAATCATGAGGATTGACAATGCTAGGCACACTATTTATGTATTGTACTCAGTTATGCTCAGAACTTGAGACTAGCACTAGTTGAAGGGCATACTCTAAAATGTATCAGAGCATCATTAGGGTATAATCAATAAAATGTATGCACTAGTTGAAGACATACTCTGATTCTGTAGGCAAGAAGTTGAGACTAGATATCAAGAATTCCAAACCTTTGGCCTTTTAACAATCTCCAGCATTTCTAACTATATTTTCTTTACCAAAATCATGTTTCCGACTGATATTGGTCCTACTAATCTTAAACCTTCTCATTTTGAAGAATCTCTCTCTAATGCAGTTAAATAATGTAATGCAAATAAAAGAAAGATTTTTTAGTTCAAATATCTGTATCCAGATGCAGTAGAGAAAATTTACCAGATCCATTGAGTTGCTATCCAAAAATTCAAATGCCGATAAAAATTCACCAAGCTTTCTTTTGGCATCCAATAGTAGATTCTGATGTAGAAGACAAAGAAAACAACATGAACTCAAAATTGCAAATCAGGTTCATATTTGAAGTTCACATTAACTTCAATTATTCAAAATGAAATGATATATAGAAGATGATGCAAGTTTGTTAGGAAATTCATAATGGCATAATATCAGGAATTTTGTTACCGTTAGATAGCTTGATATACATTGTTGGGCTCATTTCCTAACAACTTAGGCTTTTGGAAAAATTGGTAACTTAACGTGGTATTAGAGTTTTGGTTAAGAGAGGCCTTGGGTTCAAGTCTCTCCGTTAGCATTGGGTATTATGTACCCGTTTGTTTGTTTCTCCTTCTATTTGGTTCTTTGTTTATCTCTCCACATGTAAGACAGGATTGCACGTGAGAGAGGATGTTAGATAACTTGATATATATTGTTTGGCCCATTTCCTAACAGCTTAGGCTTTTGGGAAAATTGGTAACTTAACAGTTACCCTCACCTCAAGTGAGGAAGTAAGTTTATCAAAAAATCTTTCTGCCAAAGCAACGGGAATAGGTATGCAATATCTAAAAGTACATTCAAAACTGACTTCGGTCACATAAAAAATGATATATGTTCCCGGAGAGACCAGTTTATGAAGTTCAAGTTTAGAAATATGTAATTCATATGCACCAGGCTGAGGCACCTTTATTATTTGCATAATCATTATTTCTACAAGACAATTCATGGTCAGATTTCAAGTAACCTTTCTATACTTTCACATAAGTGATATGCTTGCCTAAATAGAAATTAGAAGGGAAAATTTATTTGAGTGTGACGGAAGTGATCTTACCTGGCAGCTGAAATAATCTTTACAAGCAAGAAAAGCAATATTTACTGAAGACATCTTCGGAGGTGTAAGTATGGAAACCTTAGTTATAATTCCCAAGGATCCTTCACTCCCTAGTCCAAATAAATTGAATACAATACATAAACAATTGCAGTAACTACATCTTTATGCATTTTTACATGATTTTGCAATAAAATACAAAGCACTGGCGCATTACTGAACAGACCAAAAAGAAAGAAAAAATAATTATACCATGTTAACTGTTTTACCTATGAACAACTGCTTCAAGTCATAGCCGGTATTATCTTTACGTAGCGTCCCAAGCATGTCAAGAACAGTGCCATTTGCTAAAACAGCTTCAAGGCCTGAAAGATTGATCTAGAATAAGCTTCAAACGAAATACATGTGCAATGAACAGAAATTTACTGCTTATCAGCCACTCAACTCACAAGATGCGAAATATGTTAGCATATTATATTATTATCTGAGCCTTTTTTGGCTTGTAATTATTCCATGCCCTCAGGGCTTGACTTGTAATTGTCTCATCTTGTAAACCCTAATTTTCATTTATAAATAGGGGATGATAATCTATCAAACCCTAAGCTGATTACTCAAAGCTTCATGGTATCAGAGCAGAACCACTAGGGTTCGGCCCACCCTTGTTGGTCGACCTTTGCACCAACGACACTCTAGGGTTCGAAACTTACCTCTGCTTCGTCTTACTCTGTTTCGCCTTCCTCTGACGATCGTCACTCAACAGTCTCTACCTCATCTTCATCACTCAGTCGCCGTCGTCTCTGCATCGACCTTCCTCAGCTCATCGACCTTCGTCAGCCTTCGTCGAGCTCCTCCAGCAGTTCGTCAGCCTTCGTCAGCCTTCGTCGATCTCCCCACTCAGCCGCCTTCTTTGGTATTCTCTCATCTTTGTTTGGTATACCTCTTTGGTATACCTATATTGTGTTGTGTATAAACATCGTACCCATACATATATAAATGAATACCTAAATCACTAAATATATTAAAAAAAAAAAAAAAAAAAAAAAAAAATGGTTTCTTAATTTGTTATGCTTTTATAGTGGTCATTGTGCCTGTTCTTTCACCACCACCTTCCGGGTTTGTGATTGCCACTAGTTTTTTGTTGCGGGTTCGGTAGTAGAGTATCCATGGCAGATTCCACCAGTGTGTCCCCTACTTCTCAAACACCGATGAGTAAGAGTCTCATTATACCTACTACCATGATTGAGAACCCCAACCCTAGTCTGAAAATCACCACCTCTCTCTTTAATGGTCAGAACTACCTAACTTGGTCTCAAAGTTTGACTCTATTTTTAAAGAGCCGAGGGAAGATGGGGTATGTTGATGGCAGGATACAGGCACCTAGTACCACTGACCCGAGTTATGACCAATGGGAGATTATCAACTCTTTGATTATGGGTTGGCTTATTCATTCGATGGTTCCTGAAATTGGTGAGGGCTATTTGTCTATGGAGAGTGCCCAGGATGTTTAGGATGCTGTGGCTGCCACCTATTCCCGCAAAGGGAATTTCTCACAGGCATTTGAGTTGCGTCGCTCTATTGAGAGCTCACTTCAAGGGGAACAGACTGTTCTTCAGTATTTCACTTTACTCATTAACGGCTGGAAACGCCTTGACCACCTGGAAGACTATAAGCCCGTTTGCCCTGCTGATTCTGTCGAGTACAAGAAGTTCATCACACGGGAACGGGTCTTTAAATTTCTGGCAAGCCTAAATGTGGAATATGATCCAGTTAGAGGTCGAATTCTGGGTATGGACACGCTTCCTTCACTTCAGGAGGCATTTGCCTATGTACAGAATGAGGAGAGTCGCCGGTCTGCTATGATGTCCCCTATCTCTACTGACCGCTCAACATTACTGTCTACTCCTCGAGATGGCCTCAGCCTGACTCCCATCCCTCCGTCTACTGCTAAGGAGTCTGTATTCTGTGATTATTGCAAGAAGCCGCGGCATACTAGTGAGACGTGTTGGAAGCTTCATGGGACTCCATCTGAGGGTCGAGGTGATCGGTCTGGTTCACGAGGAGGTCGGTCCGGTCAGTCTAGAGGACGTGGTTCCTATTCCTGGGCTCATTAGTCTAGTGCCGTTGATACACTTGATTCTAATTCTGCTTCTGTTGGCCAAGCTTCTGATACTGAGCTGAAGGATGCTTTGCGCCAATTGTTGGACCGCCGGTCTTCTCCTGCTCTCAGTACAGCTTCCTCGTCCTTTGCCTGCTCAGGTAACTTAGCATCTTCTCCTTGTGTTTTCCTGTGTCATAAGTCTTTGCCTTGGATTATTGATTCCGGTGCCTCCGCTCATATGTCTGGCTCCTCAGATCTTTTCTCTGTCTATAAGCCCTCTTCAGGTCAGGACAAAGTTAGGATTGCAGATGGTACTGTTTCTTCTATTTCTGAAAAAGGTTTAGTCCAAGTCACTCCTACCATACATCTATCTGCTGTTCTCCATGTTCCCAATTTTTCTGTTAATCTCTTATCCTTGAGTCGTCTTACCCAGGATTTGAATTGTAGTGACGTTTTTTCCTGATCATTGTTTGTTTCAGGACCTTGTCACGAGGAGGACGATTGGCCGTGGTAATGTAGAAAATGGTCTCTACTTCCTGGATCAATCGGACAAACTTGCTTATTCTTCCACCACTTCTTCTACTACCCCCGCTAATTTATGGCTGTGGCATCGGCGTCATGGGCATCCTTCTTTTTATTTACTTAAACATTTATTTCCATCTGGTTTCCCACATCATCATGTGTCTGACTTTCTTTGTGAATCTTGTCAACTTGGAAAACACCACAGAGCTTCTTTTGCTCCCAGTGTGAATAAAAGTTTAGTTCCTCTTTCATTAATACATTCTGATCTTTGGGGTCCCTCTCGTGTTATGTCTGTGAAAGGTCATCGCTAGTTTGTTACATTTATTGATGATTTTTCTCGTGCTGCTTGGGTGTATCTCATGAAAGATAAGAGTGAGGTTTTCTCTGTGTTTCGTAATTTTCATAAGATGATTTGTACTCGGTTTGGGGCCACTGTCAAACTATTTCGTTCTGATAATGGCGGGGAATACATAGATTCTGGGTTAGGCCACTATTTCTCTTCTCATGGCATTATCCATCAGACCTCTTACACCAATACCCCTCAATAAAATGGGGTGGCGGAACGCAAGAATCGGCATCTTCTTGACATGGCTCGGTGCATGTGTTTTTCTATGAGTGTGCCTCGGCCCTATTGGGGCAACGCTGTCCTCACCGCTGCCCATCTTATTAATCGTCTCCCTACCCAAGTCTTGCAAAAACAAGCTCCTCTTCACGTCCTCCTCGGTTCTCAATCCTTGTTTTCTATTCCTCCCAAAATTTTTGGTTATGTCTGTTTTGTTCATAATCACACTCCTTCTCGTGGTAAGTTGGACCCTCGCTCCCTCAAGTGTATTTTCCTTGGTTACTCTCCTACTTAAAAAGGATATAAATGTTACCACCCTTCTTCTCGTAAGTGATTTGTGTCCATGGATGTTACTTTCTTTGAGTCCCAGTCCTTTTTCTCATCCTCTCCGGTGTCACCGTCCTCATTTCCGGGGGAGCCTTGGTGTGAAGTGAGTCCTGTGCTGCCTATGGTGGACTCCGTTAGTCCTGTGCTCCCTATGGTGGACCCAGTTGTTCTTGCACCACCCTCTTCTACTGTGCTTCCTATGGTGGAACCAGTTGTTCTTGCACCACCCTCTTCTACTGAGACTATAGGACCCAATGTCACCAAGGATAAGAACGGGCATGTTTATGTCCGGGACATAGACAGACAACAAGTTAACTGGATACAAGGGACCACTTCTGCTCCTCCACTGTCATCTCCTGCTTCTGATGAGAACCTAGGTAACTTTGAATCTATTGCCAAAAGGAAGGGTGTGAGATCTTGTACTCAACATCCTATCTCACAGTTTGTATCCTACTCTCCATGATTGAGGAAATGAAAGCACTTAGGAAGAATGGCACTTGGGAATTGATTGAGTTACCTACGGGCAAACGACCTGTGGGATGTAAATGGGTATATTCTGTGAAACACAAAGCAGATGGGTCTATTAAGCGTTACAAGGCAAGACTTATGGCAAAAAGGTTTACTCAGACCTATGGCATTGATTATCAAGAGACCTTCGCACCGGTGGCTAAGATGAATTCAGTCAGAGTACTTCTCTCCCTAGCAGCTAATCTAGATTGGCCGCTTTATCAGTTTGATGTCAAAAATGCCTTTCTCCATGGTGATCTTGAAGAAGAGGTATATATGGACATTCCTCCTGGTTTTGAGGATCATCAGACAGAAGGCAAAGTATGCAAGCTTCGGAAGTCATTATATGGTCTCAAACAGTCTCCAAGGGCTTGGTTTGAAAGATTCATTCAGGCTATGTTTAAATATGGCTTCAAACAGAGTCAGGCAGATCACACCTTATTTGTGAAACATTCCTCACGTGGTAAGACTATAGCACTTATTGTTTATGTTGATGACATAGTTCTTGTTAATTTTAGAAGAGAAAAAAGGTTAGGGTATGAGTGGTTAATCATACCCTTTTATATTAAATCATAAACATAAGTTAAGGCCTAAATAAAGGCCCATTACAGACTGAATGAGAATAAAAAGGGAAATATCCTAACACATTCTAACACTCCCCCTCAAGTTGGTGCAAAGATATCTCTCATGCCCAGCTTGTCGAGAATGTCACGGAACGGTTTAATCCCTAATCCTTTGGTAAGAACATCAGCCAATTGATCCCCAGACCGCACGAAAGGCATACATATAATGCCACTAGTAAGCTTTTCCTTGATAAAATGCCGATCAATCTCCACATGCTTGGTCCGATCATGCTAAACCGGATTATGGGCCTCAACATCCTATCTCACAGTTTGTATCCTACTCTCATTTGTCATCCTCATATAGAGCGTTTGTGTCCAATATTGCCTCTGTTAGCATTCCTAACCATTTTCAGGATGCTCTTGCTACCTCTGAGTAGAAACTAGCCATGATTGAGGAAATGAAAGCACTTAGGAAGAATGGCACTTGGGAATTGATTGAGTTACCTACGGGCAAACGACCTGTGGGATGTAAATGGGTATATACTGTGAAACACAAAGCAGATGGGTCTATTAAGCGTTACAAGGCAAGACTTATGGCAAAAAGGTTTACTCAGACCTATGGCATTGATTATCAAGAGACCTTCGCACCGGTGGCTAAGATGAATTCAGTCAGAATACTTCTCTCCCTAGCAGCTAATCTAGATTGGCCGCTTTATCAGTTTGATGTCAAAAATGCCTTTCTCCATGGTGATCTCGAAGAAGAGGTATATATGGACATTCCTCCTG